ATCACTCAGATCATCACTCAGATCATCACTCAGATCATCACTCAGATCATCACTCAGGTCATCACTCAGATCATCACTCAGGTCATCACTCAGATCACTTGAGCTCAGATCATCATTCTGCTTGTTAGTCAGCTTTGGGTTCAGTTGAGCGTCCTTTAGAATGTCCTCATGAGATTTTTCATTAGCCTTTTCATCTTCGTTTTCTTCGCTCAGTTGAACCAGTTGAACCAGTTGATTATTCAGTTCGTTATCACTTTGTCTGTCTTTGCTGAAATTGTCATTGGCTTTCTTTTTCCTCTCACCGTCACTCAGTTCTTCACTACTTTTATCCAGTTCATCACTCAGTTCAACAGCTTCACTCAGTTCTTCATTAAGCCTATCCTTGGGCCCTTTCTCTTTCAGTTGTTTCCTAGTTGATTCTTCATCAGTTTGCTCGTTTGTATTTTCCTTCTGTTCATCTTCACTCAGATTTTCACCACTCTCACCTAGCTCATGACCCAGTTTATTATTATCTGAGATAGATTTGTACTTTTCGTCTTTTTCTTTCTGTAAAGTGTCAGCCGGCTTTTTATTACTGATGTTCGTTTTCTTCAGATTGTTCTTATTGGAATTGTTGGAGTCTTCAGCTTCACTTATTGTATGGGTCGATTCTTCCGTATCATTTTTTTCTTGTAAGCTATCCGAATCATTCAGACTATTCAGTTTTTCTTCTTGATCCTCAACCTCCTCAGTATCAGTTAAATCAATGAGTTCTGTTACAACAGAAGGTGCTTTTCTTCTAGATCTACGAGTTGTGGGTCTCGGCTTGAAGGCTTCCTGTTTATCCTCCAAATAAGATTCGTAAAACTCCTTGAAAGCCGATCTGGTTCTTCTGGAAATCCGTAAATTGTTCTTAAGAACTTTGTTAGAGAATTTTTTGGAAGTAGTTTGGATTAATAATTCTACTACGTTATTGCAAATTTGACTTATTGGAGCATTGGGCTTTGATTCCAAACTTACTGACAGTCTTGTAAATGAAGCATTCTCTGTGTTCTCCTTCTCTGGAGCTGGTGCCTTTTGAAGTCTTCTTCCTCTTATCGGAGTCTTTGTAACTTCAGTTTCAGCTTCCTCTAAGTTTTCATTTTCTTCGTCAGTGAAGCTCTGAACGAACAAATCGTTGTCTGATGTTCCTGCTGGGGTATTTTCATCTTCTTTCTCATTCTCGTTAGTCTCCATATAGGCATCTGCGTTCGAAGAATTGTTATTCATAGGAGCATCTTGCTCTTCGGTATCACCTTGCTCTCCTTCGGTATTCACATCAACCATATCAATATCAGCTTCGTCATGGTCTTCTTCAACGTCAGAGTTTGAGTTAATTCTCAGTTCAGAAGCGTGGTCAGAGTCTTCAATTTCTATTTCTTCTATCACTTCTACCTCATCATCTTGATCGTCGCTCATATCGGATATGTTTTCGGGGGTATATTGCATCTCGAATTTGATTAGGTCCACTATATTATCCGAGGTGTATTGCATTTTCGACTTGTCTTCATAGGGTTGAGCTAAAAGATTATCATAAAGAGCATTTTTCAAAAGGCCTGGTGAAATGGCAGAGTTTGGTATTTTAGATGCAAGTTTAAACAAAAAGTCTTTTGTCTTTTTTTCAAACGATTCCATAATAACAAATTTGTATTTGTTTTTGAAGATGAACTTAGAACCCAGAACTGCAGTATCTTCGAGATATTTGTTTATAAAGTGGTCATCATTAGATTTTTGGTTATCTTCATTTTCATCCAATCTGCCACATGCAATGATTAATTGATATAATCTTTTATAAGTTTCACTCACGATAAAATTTCGAATGAATTTCATATAGAATTTTTTGATACTAACGGCTATATCAATCTCCGTTAATATTTTATTATCTTTCATAACGAGATTTAAAAAATCTTGTTTAACTTGTAATTGAAGCATTTGATTAAAACCCAATTCATATGGCAATTTGAATCTTTTCTTTTTTGAAATATGATGTCCTTTTTTATAGTTGACAAATCTATTTACCCTAATTAAAGTAATATTTTGGAAATATTCAAGACTGTTTGTAATGAAATGACAGGAATAATGATCTATAACAATGGCAATTTTTCTATTGGAATCTAAGGTCAATAAAAGGTCCCATTCTTTTAAATATTTAGAAAAAGCAACTTGTGAGTTGATACCATTGGCTTCATATAGATAATTGTTTCGTGTAAGAACTTCACGATCATGAGAAGCATTGGTGATGATCAAGGGTTTATGGAATTCAGTACCAGGATAATTACCAGCAATTCCCAAAGTTAAAAGAGTTGGGATGTTACCGTTATTATTCGCATCCTGTGAACGAGCTCTTTGTCCATTCACAATATCTTTTGATAAAACTTTTAAATTGTCAAGGTCGAAAACTACTTCATCAAAGAAGAAGATATCTTTTGCTGAGAAATTTTGAATCTTCGAGATGATCGTTTTCCGTTGTTCTTCGAAAGGAGACGTTGAATTGAAAATTCTTGCAACTTTATGGTCTTTTTTCAAATCTTGTCGAACTGTTTCGAGTTGCTGAAGAAGAAAAGGGGCAAGACGGGTGATAATAAAGGATTTGATCAATTTTTCCAGATTAACAGAAATAAACTGGTTATCTAATTTGAATTGGGTTTGATAGCCAATGAAAATTTTATAGATATTGTCTCCATTATTCCCAATTGGAGTATTAGTTTTAAATACTGAATCAAAAAGGTGGTGAACAGTAGCTTTTATTGCGAGATAATTTTCCTCAATGAGTCTAACCAGAGAGTCATCGGGTAATAAATCATAAAGTTGAGTGATGTTTCTTTCATTGGGGAAATACAACGAGGCCTTTTCCAAGACTTCAACTCTTGAATTGTATGATCTCAACAATTCCGAAGTAGATGGAATATCCGAAGCTTTGATGGAACCAATAGGAATTGACGACATATACTCAGAAAGTATTCTTTCTCTAGAGTTAGCGTTGTATTTAATGTCGGTTTTTAACTTATGGACATGGTATTTCAAGACTTTGAAAACAAGCTCATCCACGGTTTGTACGGGATCATCTATAACTGGTTCTATTGGTGGAGTCTGTAGAATAGGAGCAGCAGATACCGGCTGAGATGAGTCAGCCACTTCATGTTCTGCCAATTGAGTTTCCAGTACAGCAGCTGAATTCTCCATCCTGGCATCATTCCGAGGTTCTGTAATTTGATTTGTTGTGGAAAGGTTATGCAAAGATTGAAGAGGAGTAGGTGATCTACTGAAATCGAGCGGTGGATTTGAAGCAGATGAGCTTGACTCTGAATCCGAGTCCGAATCTAGTTCTGGGTCGGAATCCGATCCAGAAACAGAATTAGTATCAGAACCCTTTAACTCATCTTGATTATCCCCATTGATAGATCTTGATTCAGACTCATTGTTTTTTATTTTGGCTTCATGTTTATTACGGCGATTGCTCAAATACGAGTCTGCTCTTGCTTTAGAACGACCCATACTATCTCCATCCAGGCTAAAATCAACAATTGAACTTTATAGTAAATCTTTTGGCCAAATCCTATATAAAGAGAATGCTACTGGTAAATGAGCACTTTTGTCACTTTCCTTCACCCTTCCAGTTGAGTCTTTAGTCCGGGATGTATATCTTAGTCCAGGAGATATAGTTTAGTCCCAGTAGAATCACTGTTCAAGAAGTCATCTCCAAGCTAAGTCCATTAGAATAAACAAACCCGCGAGGTTTGGGCCTAAAAAAAAAAAAAAAGGACAAGATGATCCCAAAATTGAAACAAAAATAAACACCGTAACTTTGCACCAAATCAAAAACTGCTACGCGATCACCTAGAGCCATGGCATGGTGCCATCCCAGTAATGCTACCCCGTACGTCATCTTTGACATGGAGGGGCAGTTGGTGCTGGCGAGGCTGATCAGGTAGCGGTTGAACAAAAAACAAAGACCGGTGTTGACGATGCATGTAGCTGTGTTGCGACTTCCGATGGTGGGAGTTCTGGGAGTATGCGGTATAGGATCAGAGAGAGTAGCAGTGGCACGGTTTAATAAGGCTGAAATTCAAACGGTTTCGCTGATAGAGGGTAGATCGGCAAGCAGTGGGGAGGGTTTCAAAAGATTAAGTGCTGAATACTAGTCCAGGTTCATAATATTGAGCAAATTTGGGACTCTAACGCTGTTTAACCTGGCTGTAAGGTTAACGGGCTCAATTGCTGCAAAATCTGCCGCTGTCTACGGTATGACGGTTGTCCATGTGAGTCTTCCGCTTCCATCACATGGCGACTTTGACACCAGGGTATTGCTTGTTAGTGGTTTGGTTATTTCCAGTTGCTAAATGTATGTTGGGTGATATTGGATAGGCTACTTTCTCGTACCGAGATAGTGTTGCAGCTGTTTTTTTGCTTTTTCCTTTATCTTTTCATGTTGGTAAGGCCTCCTTGTTCGTCTACCGAATTAACTACGTCTATCAGCTGCGTCTATCGAATAAGCTGCGTCTACCGAATAAGCTGCGTTTACCGAGTTAACTACTCGATATGCTTAGTGTTTTTTTTTTGTTTTGCTGAATCGTCTCCTTACTTCATTCTCCGTGCCCCAGTGGTTGCTGATTGATTGTCGTGTAAGTAGAGACGACATTATCTGCTTTGTTGCTTGTCTTTTGTCCTTTTGTCTATTTCCTCCTTGCAAGAATTGTCTCTGATCTTCTCACAGCCTTCAACATCTTTTAACTATGTGCCTTCATTCTTTTTTTTTTTTTTTTTTGCACTTGTTGTTTTTGATGCTATACATGAACTATGAAAGATACTCCCTTAAGCATCAGGGTTCACATACCTATTGATACCCAAACAGGCCCCACAAGGTTATACCGCTAGGGCCCTTTGGCTTTCCTATGCTAGTCTGAAATTTGGATTGCAAATCGGTAGGTTCGCACACTGCGTACCTTATTCGCACCTGACTCGCTTATGGCTGTGATAACGTCAACGAACGTCCGAGCGGATTCTACAGTGGTTCCAAGGTTCCCGGGATGTACATTTGCATTCTAGGGGGTTATCGAGAGGAGCCTGTCAAACTTGACAATAAGAAGCAGTATTTAAAATAAAATAAAAAAAGAAAGTACATACAAAAAACATATAAAAAAAAGGTAAAAGGAAAAAGTCAAAAACGCTACACAATCGGTGAGGTAATTATGAGCCATTCTATTAACAAAGAGATTTTTTAACAGCCTTCATTTTAATGTTGTTGCTTATTGAATAATTTATTGTTTCATGTCTTGCGACCACTTACTTTATTCCCCATTATTCCAGAAAGGGGATTATTTTCTTTTGTCGAAATAAAACGATCATCGCTCAGTTGGTAATCATATATCTAATCAGTGGCATCCACCTATTTGCAATGGGGATGGTTTAAACTTTTAATTTTTTCTGGTTTTTGTTTCTTCTTTATTTGCATTTTGATAAGCTTGTGATTGAAAATTTTACATCAGGTAAGCACAGTCAAGTACAGTCGTTATATCAGTAATATTTTATGGTAATTACTGAGGATTGATTTTGCCGCAATATCTAAATCTCAAAATATCTTCAATAATGAGCTTAATGGCGAAATCGTTTTTAACAATTATAAAAAAAGTCTGCTTATTGATTATTTTTTTCAATGTCATTTACCTTATTAGTTCGTATATTTACTACGCCGGTGAAGGCTTTGGAGTTGAAATTTTTAATAAACAACAAGAATTAATTGAATCACTTAATATAGACTTTGATTCAAATGATCCAAATGCAGAAATTTCAACTACAAATATTGATTATCAAAATCAAATTGAATTACTTTTACAAGATGTTGCAAATAACGCAAATAATGAATATTGGTTAACTAATACTGATCTCACTAATACTGAAATTGAGATTAATCCAAATCACTTTCTTAATGAAACTGATTCAATTGAGGCTTGGAAGAATAAAAATGAAATTTTTTATGATCCAAGACTTACAATGTCTCTTTACATTAATTATTTGAAAAATAAATTCATTGAAAATAATGATTCAGATATGGCTGATTTAGAAGTTCCCTTTGATTGGATAGATTGGATTGATTTTAGTCTTTTCAATATTGATTTAGCTAAACCAGTTAAAGATCGTAAAAGTTGCCATTGGATTAAACAATTTTCTGAGATTCCAACTAATGCTGAAAATCATGTTTTCCAATGTATTGATAATCAAGAATTATCTCCAAATGCAATTAAAATATTGGGTTTTGATAGACATGAACAATTACCAGGTTTTATTCAAACAGATCATGCTGAACAAAGGGCTACAAATAGAATAAGAGTAAGTCAGGGTAAATCTTATATTTTAACTCATATGCCAAATCCTTATAAATTGATTTTTTTAAATAAAGAAGGTGGAACTTACGAAGTTCAAATTTCACAAGAAAGAAATCGTATTACTAAATCTGGTTTAATGAATGAATATATCTTAAATAACTACCCTGAAGCAAATCAGAATAAATTAACAAATTATTTAAAACAATCTTTACTTAGTCCAAAATTAAACTTAGACCCTACTAAAGAATTCACTTCTTTAAAACAAAGAATTAAACCCCTTCATGTTTTTGAATCTAATAATATCGATCAAATAGATCCATTCAATATGTACAGATCTTTGCATAGTGATGATATAAATACTAATAAATCACTCCCATTACCTCCTGATGCTTTTAGATATTCTGATTCTCTTATTGATCAACAAATCACTTTATATAAAAGACTTGAAGGTCAAAGGAAACTTAGTGCAAATGAACAAGGTTTTTTGGAATCATTAGAATTATCTAAATATTATGATACTTTTACTGAACCAACTTATTTTAAACAATCAACTTTGATCCTTGGTAAAGATCCAAAAAATAGAGGTGATGATCGTGGTTACCATTATGATTGGAGATTTTTCAATGGTGGCCTCAATTATCAGGTTAAAGGTTGGACTTCAAAAGAATTAAATACAAGAACCACTATTATTCTTGACCGTCTTTTAAGAAATTGGTTCAGATTTACTCAAGAAAAAGGAATTGTTAGTTGGATCATGCATGGTCCTTTATTATCTTGGTATTGGAATGCTAATATGTTCCCCTTTGATAATGATCTTGATGTACAAATGCCAATCAAAGAATTAGTAAGATTGGGTGAATTATATAATCAAACTTTGGTGGTGGAAGATTTAAACGAAGGTTATGGTAAGTTTTTAATCGATGTGGGAACTTATGTCCATAACCGTGATATCAGCCGTCATGCAAATCATATTGACGCTAGATTTATAGATGTGGATACTGGTATCTATATCGATATCACTGGTTTATCAAATTCTGATGCTCCTGTACCAGCAGAATTTTATAATAGTGGATTATTTGATATTAAAAAAGATTTCAATGAAGAAATCTACAATGATCGTCGTAAACATTTTTATAAAGTTGATCAATTATCACCTTTAAGATATACTATGTTAGGTGGTGTTCCGGTCCATATTCCTAATAAATTATCCGAAAGATTAAAGTTCGAATATCCAAAAGGTTTGACTAGACCAGAATTTGCAAATTGGTTCTTCGTACCTAAATTAGGTTTGTGGTTAAGACAAGATCAATTAACTAAAGTGTTGGATGAAAATGATTATAGAATTGTCGTTGGTGAAAACAAGGAAATTAAATTCGATAACGAAAAGATTATCAACTTAGTAATTGATATGACGGATGAAGAAATTTATAAACTCTTAAAAACTGATCAAGCTATTTTAAGTGAATATTACCTTACCAGGGGATACACCGAATTCCACAAGAAGGAAAATGAATTCATTTTCAAAAGAATCCATGACGAAGAAAAGAAAACTACAGAAGTTTTGGATAATGATGAATTAATCACAAACCCTGAACTTGCTAAACAATACATGCAATTCATCAACTCAAATGTCAATTATGGTAAACCTTTAAGAAAACCATTATTCTTATATGAAAAGATTGAACAACCTAAGTATCACGACGACAATGAGTTATTCTCTCCTTACGATGAAGTTTTCAGGCAAGTTAGTAAGGAACCAAAACCAAATTAGATTTAAAAAAAAAAAAAAAAAAAAAAACTACAAATCGTCTACAAAGACATAATAGAATTATTCAAAAAACAAAAAAAGAACTTAATACAACTAGCATCACGACCTTTTTCTATACTTTTAATGCATGACTTCAATATAAATGATTATATTAGGGTATTAGCAGTAATTGTAGATTTGCCTTTATATAAAAGGATGTCGCTCAATGTCGCACAAGACAGTCTAGAATTTGTGACCGTTTAATAATGAATAAAAAAAATTGAATATATATATATCTTACAGAAATACTTCTATAGGAATCATTTGCACAGTGTTAGTATAGACTGACGATGCTTCGAACATCTTTTATCAAGCAAGCTAATAAGCCATTATTGAAAAGATTTTTGGCTTCAGCTGCAGCACCCTCAACATCGGCAACTGCACAATCCCCAGTGCCAACATTTAAAACAAGTGTTTTACCAAATGGGTTAACTGTTGCAAGTGAAGTCATGCCAGGTACCAAAACTGCCACCGTGGGAGTTTGGATAAATGCTGGATCTAGAGCAGATAATCCTACAAATAGTGGGACTGCTCATTTTTTGGAGCATTTAGCATTTAAGGGAACCAACAAAAGAACCCAATTGAATTTAGAGTTGGAAGTTGAAGACTTGGGATCCCAAATTAATGCCTATACATCAAGAGAGAATACGGTTTATTACACCAAGTGTTTAGAAAAAGATTTGGCTCAGAATGTTGATATCTTGAGTGATTTACTTACCAAATCAAAATTGGAAAAACGAGCCATTGAAAACGAAAGGCATGTTATTTTACAAGAGAGTGACGAAGTTGACAAGATGTATGATGAAGTTGTTTTCGATCACTTACATGCTGTAGCTTTTAAAAACCAAGATTTGGGAAGAACCATTTTGGGGCCAAGAGAATTGATCAAAACAATTTCCAGAGAAGATTTGGTTAATTACATTACTAAAAATTATAAAGGGGATAGAATGGCTTTAATTGGAGTTGGTAGTATTGATCATGAAAAACTTGTGGAACTCGGCCAAAAATATTTTGGCCACATCAAGAAAAGTGAAGTTCCATTCAAACAACATGGTGATGATTTGCCAATATTTCACGGAGATGAAATTAGGATCCAAGATGATGCCATGCCAGTGACTCACGTTGCTCTTGCTGTTGAAGGTGTCAGCTGGTCCGCTCCAGATTTCTTTACCGCATCCGTTGCCAATGGTATTATTGGAACCTGGGATAGATCAATTGGTATCGGTTCTAATTCTCCATCACCCTTAGCCGTAACAGCTGCCATTGGTGGCCCTGGTCAAACTCCAGTTGCTAATTCATATATGGCTTATACCACCTCATATGCTGACACTGGTTTAATGGGTGTTTATTTCACTGCAGACCGTGATGCAGATTTGAAATTATTTGTTGATGCCGTAATGAAAGAATGGGCAAGATTGAAATCGGGCGATATCACTCATGAAGAAGTTGAAAGATCTAAAGCTCAATTAAAAGCTTCCTTGGTTTTGGCATTAGATGATTCAACTGCCATTGCTGAAGATATTGGTAGACAATTGGTAAATACTGGTTTTAGATTATCACCAGAGGATGTATTCGAAAGAGTCGAGTCTATAACTAAAGAAGAAATTGTCGCTTGGGCTAATTATAGATTAAAAGATAAACCAATTGCTTTAAGCGCTGTTGGTAATGTCAAAACTTTACCATCTCATGAACAAATGACCAAAGGCATGTCTTTGTAAGAAAATCATTTCAACAATAATGCTAAAATAACGAATAAAGTATATAAGTTTTTACATGTGTATATAGAAATCAATGTTACATAAAAATGTCTTATTTATAATGTACAAATATTTTTACAAATTATTTTTGTATTAAAGCATCGGTATCATTTTCAACATCTTCATCGCCTTCAGCTTCCTCGTCATCCGATTGCTCTAAATCCTGGAAAACTGATTCGTTTGGAACCCTCTTCATTATTTCTGCAGGTGGGAAAAGCTTACCAATATTTTCAATCCATCTCTTTCTTTTATCAAGTAAAACTCTTAATCCGTTATTAACGGCCTGCTGTTGTGGTGTAGGATCAGTGTGCTTCTTCTTTTTGCTCTTGGCCTTTAATCTTTTAATATATGCTTGATCAACTTGCTTGTCCAAGTCATCCAAAATTGTACAGTACTCCTGGTAAGCTATTTGCTCTTCAACAATTGGTATCAATCTCTTTTTGAACTTTCTATTTTTCGTTGAAGATTCCTTCAACTCTTTTTGCAAAGCTCTAATTTCAGTACATACTTCATCATCTTCTTTGTTTTTCACCCACTCATCACTGTCGATAATACTAACAGTTCCATTTTCAAGAGCTTCCAATCTCTTATTCGATTTGCCGTTGAGCTTAGATTTGGACTTATCTAGTGGGTCAAAATGACTATCGCTACTTGAAGAGTCAGGAAGATTCATAAAAATACCAATGTACTTCAATTCACGTTTCAAACGTTCCTCGATAGAATGGAAATCACTTACTTCAGTTGATACTTTATAGTCTTCCCCGCTATTAAGTCTTGAGGCAACGTCTTCTTCTGCAATAGGCTTCCAATTGGATAACCCGTCACCATTAACGTCATAGTGGTTTTCCTTCTTCAAGGAATTTGATTCTGCATTCTCTTTATCATTATCTTCCTCTTCCTCTGCTTCTTTAACACTTAAAATGGCGGATAAAAGTCTACTTGAGAGCGGCCCACATGAAACGTCCTCAGTGTATAATTTGTCATCGCTTAATGAGTCAATTGAACCTTTGGCCTTATAAGTATCTATCGGAGGTTGTTGAAATGCAGGTGAGTTTAGTTTCGCAGCTAGAGAAGTGTCTTCGTCGGACCAAAGGTCTGCGTAAAATGCACCTAGCTTAGGTATTAAATATGGAGTAACATTAGGATCATAATCTGTCTTTTCAAAGGTTGGCGGTATTATATACTTTTCTTGTAAAAAGGCGGTATCCTCATTAGAGAATTGTCTGAAATAAGATTCGATATAGGACTGGAAAGTAGTAAACTGGACTTGATTAGATGGAGCTTTATTTTTGGAAAAATCAATATTAGGTATTTCACCGGGGAGCATATCTTGTAGGTCACGCTCAGGATAGGACGCCACCCCAAACTTTTTCTTCAAATATTCTTTTCCGTGGGTCTCCAAGCCTTGATTATCTTCTGAATACAATCCAAGTTCTGCGATAGCTTCTGCTGGCAAAGTTTGAGAAGTCACAAACTCAGATTTCGGATTTTTCAACCTTGTATCGTTTTCCTGAGTGAAAGACCCTTGTTGTACCGGTGGAACAGGGTCATCCTTAGAATTCACTCTATTTGATTCGTCGCCATTGGTGTCTGATGCTATGGTCAAGGACCCTTCATTTTCAACAATTGATTGATTATTTAACTTTTCATCGAGTGAAGGTTTTGATTGACTTGTTACGGCAGACAGCTTTTCTTCTTCTTCGTCTTCCTCTAGTTTAACTTTTGAAGGAGCGGGCTTACGTCTTTTTGCTAACGGTATGCTTTCGTCATCGTCAAGGTCGAGATCATTTTCTGCTGAGCGCTTGAGATTAGTTTGTTTTTCGAAATCAGGAGAAATATCGTGATCATTGTAAATTCCATTTTCCTCGTTATCCTGAGTCTTATCATCTTTTTCATCTGTTATATTTAATTTATTATTGATTTTATTCAATACTTCGGAATCAACTTTTTCAACATCATCCAAATCTTTAGATAGATTGGCAATCAATTTGCTCACATTTCGTAAAACATTCAAACTTGGAATCTCTCTAATGGCCTCTCCATCTAGTATACCGATAGAAGAGTCATAGGTGAATTTGAGTTCATTTATAATATCATCTAATGTTGTTGATGCTGAATGGGTCTCAAATGATGCAACCATTATGTTGATGAAGTATTCCCACTTTTCTCTTCTTTTTTATCAAATTTAATTGTTTGAATTTGTTTTCTATCCCTTATTCAAGTCTTTAACTTTACTGATTGATTTATGATTCAAGTTAGCTCTAATGTAAACAATTCACTTGATAGCTTACAGAAGTAATTGTAAAATGGTTGTTCAATTTTTTCGAGCAGAAAAAAAAAAAGCGTATGTACGGATGTGTTCTGGGACCGTAGATTAAAAGATTAATATATACAAGTGAATCTACGTAAGATTAAATATTCATAATCAAGGGGTGAATTGGGATAAGAATTTTTTATCCTTACTTTCCTTGACCTCGTTAACTAATTTTCTAACAACATTGTGTTGAGAGATAGGAGCATCTTCGGGTCTTTTCCAAGATTCTGGAAATTGAGGTTTTACCTTTTTCGATTTATTATGACGAGTATCGATGGGTATATCATCGAAGGTTTCTTTGGATAAGTCTTTTGATTCATTTAACAATTTGTTGAAAGTTTGGACCAACCAACGAGCGTTTTGGGTGGCTTCTGGGTGTTGATTAGAAGAAAATTTGAATAAATTTTTATTATGATTGAATTTATTACCAGCCAAAATCTTAAACTTTCTAGTTTGTTGTTCATTCAATTCCAAGTCCTCTATTCTGCATGACAAGGTAACTGTTCTATTAAATCCATTGTTATTGTCTGTAAAATCGGTGTTAAAAGATAATTTTATTGGATTTTCTTGATTAGTTTGTGGTTTATATTCTTGACGAAATTTAGCTAATAAAGGCATTTCGTAAGCACTAACTCTAGTCAAATGTTCAATTCTTCTCTTCTCGTGGGGAGTCTTACCTGCATCTATAACAGGAATGTTACTATACTTTGGTGGTAAACCTCTTTGAGCCACTGGAGTATTGGTCATATGTCTTTCTTTGAAATTTTCAATTTCGTAAGTATAGTCCAAAGTTGGCTTTTTCTGTTTCAAGGCAACAATAGTTGACAAGATAGCTGATCTTTCTGCATCATCTGGATTATATTTTTCTCCTAATGATTCCTTTCTTAAGTTGTGTAATTCAAAGATTTGATCGGCTGGTAATCCTTCCCATTTATGTGGATTGAGATATAATGGTTGTTCTGCACCGGCATTACTCGAGTAGAAACGTCCTAATTGACAGGCCCTGGTAATAAGTCTGGTGCTTTGTCTTTTCACCAACATTTTGTTATCCTACTGATCTGTTGAATGAAAACTATCGGTGCTAATGAATCCCTTCAACTTCAAAACGAATGAAAAATTCACTGAAAAATTTATCAGTTTTTTGTGTGTACGCGCACGACCGCTTCCCACTACTAATATTTCACGGTTTATACTTATAAGGATTACATTATAACTCATTCATACATATATATATATATAGCTCAAGGCTCTAGAATTTGCACCTCAAGAAGTTTCTGTTTTGGCTTTTTTGTCCTTATGTTCATCTGAGTTTGGCTTATGAAGGTCTGAGTTTTGGTCTGAGTCTGATCTCTTCGGCTCTGGCTTTAATCCAGTCTTTTCTTCTGATTTGACCTTAGGTTTTCGGTTGAAAAACAGACCTATTTCCATTTGGGCTTTTTTCTCTTCTTTGATCACATCCTTGGTTTTATTGGTAGGGTTGCCTACTGATTTTGCAACTTTATATCCGATCAAACCATCAAAAGCGATATTATCTTCAGTATTTAGGCTCGTTTCAAGAAGTTTGGGATCCCATTCTTTAGTTGGGTCTAGCCAGTCAAACCACTCGGTTGTGCCTGGCCTGATCATTATCGGTTTCCGGGAATGAAGCCATGATAAGTCTGTAGAATCCTTTTTAAGTGCTGGGCCCGTCACTATGGTGAAAGAAGAGAAAAACGAATCGCCCTTGGGAACTAATTCGGTATCGTTGTATTGGGTATTATGGGAGTATAATCCTGCTAAGAAAAGTAATGGTGTATTTGGTGAATGGATATAATACGGGACTTTATCTGCCCTGGTCTTGAGCCATTCAAAGTATCCTTGAATGGGTACCACACATCTGTGATACTTTCTTGGTTCATTCCACACTGGCTGATTTTTTGCAAGTGATTCTTTCCGGCAATTGAAGTACTTGGATTGATGTCCTTGGACTTCCCTAGAGTATTCTTTACCCTGGCCATTCTTCGTTTTCACCAGGGTTGGGTCCTGCGGTTTGGCCCAAACAGGTAGCATGCCAAACTTCAGTACCTCTACTTTGTAGCTAAAGCTGTATTTCTCGTCCTTGTCTTTATTAAGATATACAATCAACGCAGAGTTTGTTGGTGGAATGTTATAGGACTCTTGAAAATCATGCTTGTCAGCATTAGTGAAACCAAGCTCAATGGTATCTGAACTTTCCGGGTTTTTCGACTCATAATGATCTTCAGAAGTCTTTTCCATTTGATACGATGTAGAACCACCCCCATTGATTACTGTATCATTGAAGTACTCTGGGAATTCTTTGAGATTCTAAGTAAAAATAAAAAAAAAAAATTGTTAGTAAACTCATCCAAGGCCCTTCTAAAAGTGTTACGCACCAATCCCAACGCATATCTACCACACATGTTAGGTTACTGTTAAGCTATGTATGTCCTTAGAGTATTCGGTTTGCTAATGAAATCAGAACTTGGGGCGATTTATCATAGTTTATATTATGTAAGCCTTTGGTTGCTACAAAAGAAAAAATAATTGCAAAAAAGTATATAATACAAAATGGCAGTCTACGCCAAAGAGATTCTGTACGACTCGTTGGCTACAAAGTGTTCCCAGTCGTTGGTTGGGCCCAAATACGTTGTGCAATGAGACTTTTTATGTCTTGGGTTAGAAATCTCTGATTTGCGTAGTTTTCCAAAACTGTGTTCATCACAGTTTTGTAAGTCTCTGGCTTTCCAAATACTACTGATGATATCTCTGGTTTGGTTGACATTACCAAGACTGTTTTTTTCCAACTTATCTAGAAGACTCAATGTCAAGTAGCGCAAGTCTTCACATTCTTCATCATGAACTGAGATTGAAGAACTGACAATAAACAATGACCAAAGAAGTGTAGAACACCAACGGAAATCATTGTTGAGGATTATAAACTTAAGATATTTGTATAGTTGTTTAACTTGAGTTTTTATACCTTCGTCCTCTGGAGTCTTGTTGAGTAAGCAACAGTCTAGATAAATTGAAGTACAAGCTCTTTTCACTTCACAAGCTAAGATGAAACAAAATTCTTCGGGATGAATATCATCTGCAAGGATGATTAGTTCACTTTTAGCCACTTGACTTACTTCTTTAAAGTTTCTATTAAAGTCATAAGCGATGTCAAACAAGATATCATCAGCTTTTATCTTTAAGTCCATAGCATCTAATTTTTGTTTCATAGCATTACATAATATTTGATAATTATTCTCAGTTATTCCCCTATTGGATCGTTCTAATGAAAGATCAGTTATATCGGATATAACATTTATGAGTTTCTTATCGCAGCCCATCCAAGATATCAATGATTTAGGAACTAAATTATCAACCGGTTCGTCATCAAGTGTTTTCAAAGAATCAAAGAAACTATTCTCCTGTCTGCATGCGGTTCTTCCCATGCATTCCTGATAATTAAGAAAGTCAATGGCAAATCGTAGTAAAGAGTCTTCTAATTGACTCTTAGGCTGTATGAACTCTGGTGAAAATACCAATTTTTTGCAAGTCTTTAAATAAAAGACCCATTTCTCATTACAATCATCAGCAACTTCATCCATTATTAATAGTACAAGCGATAGTAGTAAGCTAGTGTCTAGGCGATAGCTTTTATGCTTGTTGTGTCTTGAAGGATCATTGATATAATCTATAACCCCACCAATCATTGATAAGCCTTTCAACTTAAACAAATAAGATTTATCGAACCATTCTTCATTATATGAGCCTGGGCTGATTTTGGATAAGTAAATAGACCCCAATGACAATATTAAAAAGAAAAGGTGTGGGTTATACTGAGCGTACTGAATCAAAGAGGAAAGGTTTAAGCCTTTTTCAATTACTATATGATGATCGGGCAGATAACGAGAAGCAAGCAAACTATCTTGAATATTATCTACTGGATTGAGAATTGGAGATATGAACTCAATATAATAACTCAAGGCAAAGCTCAAGCTGGAACGATCATAACCACCTAAAGATTTGATTTCAGGGGGGAATATTGAAGGGCGTATAGATGGTCGAAGAATCATTGCTGGTTCTTTAAATTCATGGTATGAAAAATTAATGAACATCAAATTATTCTTATTTTCTATGTCAAGGTAATAAGAGGTGTGTGATTTTTTGATAAGTTCAGAGACTGTCTTCTTATTTCCCATTTTACCCCAGACTCCTTCTCTGCCAAACTTCTTTCCCTTATTCTCGAAATCTTCTCTATATTGAAGGGTCATTTGGTAAGTACATCCAATATTCTTAGACGTGCATCGAGAGCACTTGGGTTTAATTTCATCACATTTTGCCCTTTGGCTTCGGCATTGTGAACAGCCAAATCTTGATCTCGAGCTATTTTTTGATTTTCCTGATCTTGGCTTGGATATCTTATTAGTTGGAGTATCAACAATTTCGGAGAAAGCAGGTGAGATAGGGGTCACATTCATCAGATTATATTATTAAAGAAAATCAATAAGCCAAAATGATGATGAACTGATTAATAGCAAATTTCCCTTATATCTTTTTTGATCTTCTCACTAAAACCTGCGTTTGTATTTTCAGATACTAAGTTGTGCGGCTAACTAGTTTACCCCATCTAAGTAGATTTACTGTTAACTCCCCTTGGTCTCAATCTGCCGCTCGTGGTGGAGTTTTGAGTTGATTTATTGTGTTGGCTGGGAGGTGGAACGGTACTAATGCAACCTGATAAGAGAAGTGAGCATGGACAGTGTTTCACGGAACCCTTTTCAGATTTAATCGTCTGATTTCATTTTTAATAATTAATTACAAAGGCAATATTTACTAGCGAAGATTGTAATTTCCCAATTACTCAGTAGGTTCTCTTCGACCTGCTGTCGTGAATAATTTTTCATCACTTTAGTGAGAACGGAATTTTTTGCTTCAGATAAAGTTTGATACATTTAAACATGAACAATTCTGTTCAATTGACTTTTGACCTATGGCATGGATCATGTCTAAATCAACAAAGATAGCAATTATAGGTGCAGGGACCTTTGGGTTATCAACGGCTTTGGAATTGGCCAGATTGGGGCATATCGATGTCACTTGTTACGATAAATACCCAGTTCCTTCGCCAATAGCAGCAGGGAACGATAGTAACAAGATATTCGATTATGAATACATTGCCCCTGATGAAAAACCCACTACGGGTGAGAGATTAGCATTAGAGGCAAAGGACTTGTGGCAGAAAGATCCAGTTTTCAAAGAATATTACCATCCCGTTGGATTTATAGTGGCAGCTAGCTCCGAGAAGCCTTTGCAATCATCTGAAGAGAGATTTAAAGAATTGAGAGAAAAGGGATATAAAGACTATGAATTTTTAGATAGTCCTGACCAATTCAGAAAACTTTTACCGGTGCTCGAAGGAGAAATGCCAAATTGGAGAGGTTATGTTTTAGATAAAGACAATGGATGGCTTCATGCAAGAAATGCGCTTATTAGTGCTTATGAGGAAGCGAAAAAGCTAGGTGTTAAGTTTGTATTTGGTGAAGATGGTGAAGTGGTTGGGTTTGATTCCGACGGAGAATTGATCACGGGTATAAAGTCAAAATCGGGGAAAGTATTTAAAAGTGAAAAATACGTATTGACTGCTGGAGCTAATGCAGTGAGTGTTTTGAATTTCAATCAACAGCTTGAGGGGAAGTGTTTTACTCTAGCCCATATCAAAGTAAGTGATGAAGAAGCCTCAAAGTTTAAGGATTTACCAGTAATTTTCAATTATGAAAAGGGATTTTTTTTTGAAGCCGATGAAAATAATGAAATCAAGATATGTAACGAGTTTCCTGGTTATACAAATTTAAATGAAAAAGGTGAATCAATGCCATTTTACAAGATGGAAATCCCTTTGGAAGCAGCAGAGGACGTTCGTCAATACTTAAGGGAAACTATGCCTAAGTTTGCAGATCGTCCATTTGTGAAAACCAGAATTTGCTGGTGTACTGACTCTCCCGACCGGGAACTCATACTTTGTACCCATCCTAAGTATTTGAATTTAAGTGTTGCTTCAGGTGATTCTGGTAAGAGTTTTATGTTATTACCAGTGATTGGTAAGTATGTAGCTAAAATCGCTCTTTATGGTGACCATAGTTTGAATGAGGAAGATAGAAAAACCTGGAGATGGAGACCGGAAACTTCGGATTCTAGAGATAACACTCAAGATAGATATGGTGGTAAAGGGATAGTAACTGATTTGAAAGACATTGATTTATGGGTTTCAGCTGAAAATCCGATCCCTCATAAATTACAAGTAGAATAGTTATATTGATCCTGGAACTCGTGATGTTTTTAGGATTCATGCCGTATCTGTTCGAAACTAATATACACTATATTGATTGTGTGAATATAAATGAATGAAAATGTAGAAATTATGAATCAACTGTAAAAACTAAAGTCGAGAAGAGAATTTTATAATTTTTTCAGGCTTTTTTGCAACAAAATGGAAAAAATTGCAAAAATATTAATATGAAAATACAATTGAAAAAAACTTATGGATAACCACCATTAATGAGACATTGAGACTTTTCCAATATTGAAATACAATAGCTTTAAACATTAAGTGAGAAGCAAAACCTCCTTTCAAATATACTTATTCCAATGCATATTTTAAACTTTTTTATTGTCCGAGTCCTCAAAAAGGGATTCGAAAAGGTTGTCTTATTCTTTCACTTTCTCTTGTTTCTCCTGCTTCAGCTTGCGGTATATCTATTAGAATGTAGATCGATTTTGGCTGCTATTATCAGGCATTGATATCTCTCATGGTTAGGCTTTACTGAACTGCTTTATTATAAGCCTATAGAAAGCGAAGGGTTCGACAACATATTCGTTAAAAATCTCAGTATAATCTCAATGACCTGTGAATATCCGTGAAGTATATCGTAAGGATCATGCAAGAATTCACCGCTTAGGCGCTTTATGAAAGGAAGAAAGATCAAATTTACAGCTAAATTTTTTTTTTTTTGCATATATGCTTGAAAATAAAAAAGCAACCGAAGCCGCCCCTCAAAGTATAGTACTCGCTAGCTTCAATTCTTGCTTTCTTTTCGATTTTTTTTTCATTTTTTTTTAAATGAAAATTATTACTAGCAAAGCATCATAGAGTACAAACTCCCAGTTATTCGAATTGAACATATCAAAGGGTGGTTGGTGTAGTGGCTAGCATATTTGCCTTCCAGGGGAAGTCAGCAGATGACATGGGTTCAATTCCCGTACCACTCATTTTTTTCTCAACTTTTTTTTTTATGTGGTAAAGATCCACACTTATTGGAACGCCTAAAATCAAGGTCTCCGACTTATTCTGGGACTCGTAATTCGATAAACGAGTATTTTTTAACAGCTCCGTCATTCCAACTGATAAGAGCTGAAACAAAAAGGAAAAGAAAAGTTCTTTACACTAAACCCCAGGTATTTCTTACAAAAGTGATACAGTATTATTCGACAGAGGTCAAATACAATTAAATAATCTATCAATAGCCAGGAAGTCAACCAAAATTACATAAAACCAGTAACATAGAGCCAAAAAAACAAATGAAAAGGATCAGCCACATAAACTGAGACCAAAGAGATACTTGCAAGAAATGAAAGAACGGGAGAAAACATGTGGAGAAAAAAATAGGCCCTTTCATTTACTTTGATAAATACCTTCGATGACCAAGACAAAGAAATGCAAAGGAATACGCGTAGATAATCATTCCATTTAGAAAGGGTTTACACTTTTAATGCAATGCCAATTGGGAAGCACAGACCAATTATAGCGAGACCAGAACTAAATTGCAAGGACGGGACCAAAAAGAAAAAAGGGTGCAAAATGCGCACAGCAAATTTGAAGCTAATAATCATTTTTGAATTTTAGCTTATTTAATTTCTTTTTGGACTTGTAAGCAACTTGTTTTCTAGCGTATGAGGCCCGTGAGATAACAAAATCTAGCGTTGTCGTATCGTAATCAGGGAACCAAATAGAAGTGTATTTGAATAAGCGAACCAAAAGATCTGATCTTTGATCAGCTTTCAAATGTCTTCTCCAACTATTTTTGGTGATATCAAAATCACAAACGAGTTCGAAAAGCCTGAGAATTTGCTCTTCAACTAATTTGGTTAAGGCAAGGCTATAATTTGATAAGTTTAAACCACTTCTTAAATCGCAGACATTAGCTCTGGAACTAGGTTTCTTGATAGGTGCTTTTGATTCATGGTCAAATTTGTAATTTTTTCTTTGAAATCTTGAATCTTTTTGTAAAAACGATAGTGGTTGAAGGTTTTCAATAAAACTGATTGAGTTTTTGAAATTTGTTTTCTTGAACATTCCAATTAGTCTTAATTGGTTAATTGGTTGTTCGAATGATATCGAAACTGGTACTGAGTTATCTTTCATCTCGTATTCGACTTTAGGGAAAAAAATACCTAGGCCAGCCAGTTCGGTCGACGTGGGATAGCTAGCGGAACTATTCTTTGGTATCCCAGGATTTGTCAATCCAAATTTGCCACCACGGGAAATCTTAGTCAAAGAGACTTCAACAGATACAATACCATTCGAATTAGTATCTTCACAAGCAGCATTAGCAGAAACCGATTGTTTCTCTTCTGAAACAATCAAGGTAGCAGCAGAACCTTGAGGAAATTTAGAATCAGGCAAATCAGCTAAAAGTTTCTCGATGTCCATATCACATAACAGCTCAGTATAAGAGGCAGAGGCTGGAAACTCAATATAGTTGAAATTAATTTTAGATTCTTTGAAATCAAAAGATGAATGTCTCGAGCGGCTAAAACAAACTGAATCTAAATCGCTAGTCACACTAGAATCTTCAGAACTGAACACCGAACCACAGTCAAAACTAGATGAATAAGATTCACTACTTAAAGGAACTAATAGCTGAATTGGATCTATATGCTCCATATTTACATTTTTCTCAACAAAACCTTCATCAAAAGAGCCGCAAACCAGCATACTACTTTCAAATAACTCTATATTCATTGATGAATTCATGTTTAGTTACAATAAGCTTTCTATCTTAGCAAATCGGTTAAGAAGAATGCCCACAACAAATACCACTGGATTCCAGGATAAGCTCCAATATTTATTCATTTTTTAGCCGCCCAATTGCAAAAAAATAACAAACTTTCGATGCAAGACCAAAAAAACACTTTTGGCGTTTTCTTTTATTTCATGTCTTTTTTCCACTTCATTTCTAAGCTTGTACCCTCTCCCACTGATAGGATAAGACTCGATTCATCACCGTTGCGATTATATAGTTAACATTTTCAAGTCCTAATGAGCTGTACTACTAGATCTTTCAGATTAGATTTGAGATCTCACACCCCCTTGATAAAATGCGTGGGGGCCCCCTCTTAATAAAAGATAATCGCTTTATCGCTTACATTCACATAAAAGAGGTTTTAAGATTGTATATTGATGTATAGTATCTCTAAATTTAACTTAATTGGGCTTCTAAGATATTTTCAACAACCCCGTTGACGTCAGTCTTCAAATATTGACAATTCATCAAGACTTGAATCAACTTTTTCACTCCAATATTAATTTGACCATCTCCGATGGAAGATAATTGGTTGGTGATGATTGATCTTTCTTGTTCATTCATAAAGTTCAAATGTTTCATAATGATTGAGATTTCTTCAATCTTGGTAAGTTTTTTGATTTCAATAGTTTTGGTGAAATTCTCAACCAAATTCATATGCTTCAAGACTGAGTACTGAGAAGTAGTACCGATAATTAATAAACGACGTCCATTAGGAGCTTTTTTATTCAAATTAACAATTAACATTTGTAAAATTTCATTACTAAATCTAGGACCAATAGGAACATAGTTAATTAAAGTTTCAATCTTATCAATAACCAATACATTCAATGGAGATCTATAAATATCTCTGAAAATGTTATCAATGGTTGCAATCTTCATTGCTTCAGACATACCAACTAAACTTTCAGCACTTAACATTTTGATAAAGGGGAATTCGGATTTTAATGCTAAATAACTTGCAATTGCAGTTTTACCAACTCCCTGTTCCCCATGTAAAAGAACAGAAATTAATCTTTCAGTTGATGAATTCTTAACTTCTTCAATATATGATTGTAATTTATCAAATATTTCATTCACACGATGATTATATGGAATTATACCATATGGTGAGTTACCAGTTAAGTCTTCTTCGTTAACACCAAAAGCAGGTTTAACTTCTTGTAAAGCTTGAAAGAAATGTTTTCTACTAACTTTCATCTTGGCAACATTTTCATCAACTTGGGCAATATTTTCTGATTTGGTATATTCACTAATTGCAAATGAAGTTGCACTATTAACTAAACCTTCTAATTCAGCACCCGTGAAATTCTTAGTAGATGCTGCAATTTCATCGAAATCTATATCATTTCCTAATAATTCATTATCCTTCATTTTTTTAGTATGAATTAATAAAATATCTTTACGACCTTTTTCATCAGGCAATGAAATTTCAATTTGAATTTCAAAACGACCAGGTCTTAATAAAGCATTATCAATTAAATCTAATCTATTGGTCATACCAATGATTAAAATATTATTTAATTGATCAACACCATCCATCTTGGCTAATAATTGATTAACAACATTATCTCCAACTCCAGTACCATCACCTTTACCACCACCTCTTTGTTTGAAAACTGAATCTAATTCATCAAATATAATAATATGTAATTGAGAATTTTCCTTTTTGGTTTTATATTCGGCTTCAGCATCTTTAAATAAATTACGAATATTTTCTTCTGAAGAACCAACATATTTACTTAACATTTCAGGACCATTAACAATTTTTGGTTCTTTAACATTTAACATTTTACCAATTTGTCTAGCAATCAATGTTTTACCAGTACCTGGTGGTCCATATAATAATAACCCTTTAACATGACGAAGACCCAAACTATCGACTAAATCGGGTGAAACAATTCTACTAACAAAAGCACGACGGAAAATCTGTTGAAATTCTTGATCTAAACCACCAATACCCATTTGATCTAATTTAAAATCTGGTCTAATAAGTTGATTGGCTCTATTTTTATTAGCATGATTTGAAGATTTTGAACCTTTTGGTTTTATAAGATTGATAATTGAACCTTCTTGTGGATAGAAATTAATAGCTGTTTGTTTGATTAATATACCTTTTGATGATAAATCTTCCAGCATGGTAGCTGTTGCTTGAATATTATTCAAATCAATCACTTGACATCCAATTACATAGACTGATAAAATTAAACCTCTAAAGTCCATTACCAATGGTTGAGTTGGTTGTAAAATCATATTTTCGTGATTTGATAAGAATATTTTAATTAATTCTTCATGATTTATTGGACTTGAATTTGCTTTTGATTTTTGTCTAAAGTCAACAAATAAGTCAATTGCTCCCAAATAGTTTGAATTACCATTTGCAAAAATATTGTATGGTTCAACTGTAACGGGTTGACCTAAAGACCATCTACCCCATGGACGTACATTACCAGCCAACCCAATTTGTCCTTGTTGCATATTGGCATCCTTATAGATTGAGTAAACAAAGTTACCATCAAGAACTACCGTTGATGAATCAGGAACTTCGGCAAAGTCATTTGGACTAACACCAACTTTATTCGATAATGCAACTTGATTAGATGAACAATTTGCAGTGATAAGTTTTTTACGACTGAAAGTCCTTGGTGGTTGTTGCGTTCCTGCCGGTGGATGTTCTGGTCTTGGTGGCGGCTGATTATGGTTAATGAATGGCTGACCAGGCCCAGGGTTGTTAGCGACTTTCTGGAATCCAAATTTTTCCATCATATAAAATAACTTTGTAAAATGAATGGAATTGATTTAGAGTATTGGAAAAACGATAAACGCAAACTTTCCAAGTGTCCTGATCTATTTGCCGTTATTTAACTGTAAATGTTTTTTTTTTTTTTTACTTCCTTCTCGTGGAGACAACACCCAGACACCAGATCTTTTAGACTGCTGCAAAAAAAACAAATACTCGAGAGTTCTACATTCTTGAGAGTTCTACACGGTATTGGCCCTTCAAATTGGATTGCAAAAAATCGGTAATGAAGCAGCGAAAAGGGTCAAATTCTCATTGATCCATTACCAAAGTTTTACAATTCAAGTTGGAAAACCAATTGAATCAACTTTGGAAGATGGGTTCGAATTTTTATTAAATGTTTTTAGAAAAAAAAAAGTTCGAATGACAAGTAGAAATATTTAAAAAATGGAACATATGCCAGATTCCATCTTCCAAATATTTCAACCCCCACCAACCAAGGGTAGTCAAATGAACCAAATGAGTTAAGGGCTTATCCTTCCTCAATGAACCCATCAGTATATAAAAAAAAAAAAAAAAAAGAGACTTTTTTTTGAAAAAAAAAATTGAATAAGATTGACTGCCTAAACAGTCGGTTAAAGTTTAAGTTGTTAGAAACAACTCAAGGGTGCCGTAAGGCTATGGAATAAAAAAGGGGATTATAAATACCAATAACATGGAGTTAGTGGTGGCATATTATGATGGTTGGCGAGTGAAAAAGCATCAAAAAAACAAAAGCAGCAAAACCAAAAGCAGCAAAACCAAAATCAGCAAAACCAAAATCAGCAAAACCAAAAGCAGCAAACCAAAAGCAGCAAACCAAAAGCAGCAGACCAAAAGCAGCAGAATAAAGAAAAAGATTCACAATTATAACCGCTCAAATCAAAAGTAGAAAGTACTCGGCGCCAAAGCACTTCAAACAATCTTTCTGAGGATTATAATCACAATCAAAATTTGAAATGGATTAAAAGAGACGTGATCAAGTTCTCAAATAAACCAGCTTCAATAGATAAGAAGAAAAAGAGAAGAAACTATTTATATTTGGCTAATTCCCCACCCGATGAATAAACGACAGGAAACGAGAAATCCCAAACACACCACCGGCCTCCTTAATGACAGAGCCACCCGCCCGACTCACCATCATTATGTGCTTGGAATCATTCGTTCTTCATCTACTTGTTTAGAACAATCGAATTAGATTAATCGTGAGCCGCCACTCAAAGGATTCAATTAGCCGCTAATAAAAAGACTCAAAAGATGAATAGAGAATAGATTAAAGAATAGAATAGAGAATAGAATAGAGAATAGAATAGAGAATAGAATAGAGAATAGAATAGAGAATAGAGAATAGAGAACAGAATAGATTAAAGAATAGAAAGTAGAGGTGAGATACAGAAAAGAAAGTGATGTGTAGTTTTGAATTGTCAAAAGACATATCAACAGTTTAAATACAATTTTTTTTTTTAATCCACAAACGGCCGCAAAAAACTGAGCGAAAAATTTGTTGCAAAACCACAAATACAAAATTTATCAGATTTACCAATATACAAGCCCGTACCTTATATGAATACCCAAGTATCTTTAGCAACATGTTCACGTGTCTAGGAATCTCTAAAGCTATGATTCTTTAGGTATCTTAATCTACTGATCTTTTGGATTCAATATCCATATGTATATACAACCACCTATACAAATATACAATCGTGAATATCGATGTATATCTCTGTATATACAACCGTGTATATTGATGTATATCTCTGTATATACAACCGTGTATATTGATGGATATCCCTGTATATACAACCGTGTATATCGATGATATAGTTTATACAGTTAATATACAGCGTACAATCACTTAAACTGTGGCGTCAACCCGATATAAGGTGTACCGGTGTCGGACCCGGTCGTGCGCGCCTTACCAATTGCCGACAGAAAAGTGTGGCGTTGAGCCTTTGAACCACAATATCAAAAGAATTGCTAAAGAATCAAGAGTTCAATGATTATTAACTAAAGAGCAGCTAGAATTGAGTACTGTGATTATTATCTGAATAGTAGCTAGAAGTGAGCATCACCTATTACCTTTGAGTTACATTTTTGCTACTAAGTGTAAGTATACTAAGTGTACCAAGTATTGCAAGTTTGCAAGTTCCTAAGAGTATCAAGAGTAGTGCTGATACAATGGTTAAGTACAGCTACAGTGACTATAGTAGTAGTAGTAGTAGAAGAAGAAGTAGTAGTAGTAGTAGTAGTAGTAGTAGTAGTAGTAGTAGTAGTAGNTAGTAGTAGTAGTAGTAGAAGAAGAAGTAGTAGTAGTAGTAGTAGTAGTAGTAGTAGTAGTAGTAGTAGTAGTAGAAGTGTAGTAAGTCTGGTAGTGTAAATTTACCTAAATTAGTAATAATGCGGGCCTTCTAGATTTTGCTGGTGTCTTAGTAAGTGAAAAATTCTAAGAACATTTTTTTGTTACTAAACCGTGGTTGTGGTGATTTGATTCTGTAATATAAATATCCCTTAAATTCTTGATATTTTCAGATTCGAAATTTTCTTTCCCTTCATTAATTTAATCAATTGATAATATATAACACAATGGCCGCTCAAATTCAAAAACCAGCTCCAAGCTTCACTAAAACCGCCGTCGTTGATGGTGTTTTCGAAGAAATTTCTTTAGAACAATACAAAGGTAAATGGGTCTTATTAGCTTTTATCCCATTAGCTTTCACTTTTGTTTGTCCAACCGAAATTATTGCTTACTCTGATGCTATTAAAAAATTCACTGATAAAGATGCTGAAGTTTTATTTGCTTCTACCGATTCTGAATACTCTTTATTAGCTTGGACTAACGTTGCTAGAAAAGATGGTGGTTTAGGTCCAATCAATATCCCATTGTTGGCTGATACTAACCACTCTTTATCTAAAGACTACGGTGTCTTATTACCAGAAGCTGGTGTTGCTTTAAGAGGTATCTTTTTAATTGATCCAAATGGTGTCTTGAGACAAATCACCATCAATGATTTACCAGTTGGTAGATCTGTTGAAGAATCTTTAAGATTATTAGATGCTTTCCAATTCACCGAAAAATACGGTGAAGTTTGTCCAGCTAACTGGCAACCAGGTTCTGAAACCATCAAACCAGAAGTTAAAGACTCCAAAGAATACTTTGGTAAAGTTAACAAATAAATGATTTAGACGATTTATACAATTATACAAAATAATAAATTAATGAGTTAAACTAACACTACTGTAGTTGTAAATGGAAAATAAATTTTGCTCTACTGTAGTTGTAAATGGAAAATAAATTTTGCTGGAGATTTTTGTCAAAATCGTACCATCAATCCAGTGAATTGCTTATCTATTGGCCCCATGTACAAAAAGGGATTTCCGCTCGGTAAACGAGAGTGAAGTCAAAAAAAGAAAAAAGAAAAAAAAAAAAATTTGACAGATCAAAATGTACGGAGGCGTTTTCAATATAAACATATATTTAACAAATTAATAAAACAAATAATAAATACTTAATAAATAATTAAACCTTTTCGGCTAATTCTTCTAATAATTTAAAGTTACGTTGTTCAATTGAACCATTACCTGGTAATCTTGAGGATCCCATCAAAAAGTTATCAACTTCTCTAGCACATTGTCTACCTTCTTGAATACCCCAAACAACTAATGATTGTCCTCTTCTACAATCACCAGCAGCAAATAATTTACCTTGACCAACTTTATAACCAGTTGGGTCAATGGTTTCAATGGTACCCCTCTTGGTTTTAGAAACACTTAAATTATCAGCTTCTGGACCAACAAAACCCATTGATAATAAGACAACATCAGCTGGGAAAAATTCTTCAGATCCTGGGACTTCAGCCATTTGCCAAGCTCCACTATCAGAACGTTTCCATTCAACTCTAACGGTTTTGATACCTTTAACATTACCTTCACCATCATCAATAAATTCTTTTGATAAAATAGAGTATTGTCTTGGATCTTTACCATAATGAGCAGTAACTTCAGAATGTCCATAATCAACACGGAAAATTCTTGGCCATTGTGGCCATGGATTATCTTTTGGTCTAGTAGTTGGTGGATTTGGTAATAATTCAAAATTAGTAACTGATTTTGCTCCATGTCTTGTAGAAGTACCTAAACAATCATTACCAGTATCACCACCACCAATAACAACAACATGTTTACCTTGTAAAGTCTTTTTAATATCTTCTAATTGATCATCCAATAAAGCTTTAGTATTAGAATGTAATAATTCCATGGCAAATTTAATATTATTAAATTCACGACCTGGGATTCTTAAATCTCTTGGAATAGTAGAACCAACTGCAAAAATTACTGCATCATGGTCATTTTCTAATTCTTCAACAGTAATATCTTCACCAACTGTAGTAGAACAAATAAATTCAATACCTTCAGCTGCTAATAAATCAGTTCTACGTTTAACAATTTTCTTATCTAATTTCATATTTGGAATACCATACATCATTAAACCACCTGGTCTATCACTTCTTTCATACACTTTAACAAAATGACCAGCTTTATTTAATTGATCAGCTGCTGCTAAACCTGAAGGTCCTGAACCAATAATAGCAATAGATTTACCTGTTCTAACTGCTGGTGGATCTGGTTTAATCCAACCTTGTTCAAAAGCATGGTCAATAATAGCACATTCAACTGATTTAATATTGACAGCATCATCATTAATACCCAAGGTACATGCACCATTACAAGGAGCTGGACAAATTCTACCAGTAAATTCTGGGAAATTATTGGTCATCATTAATCTTTGTAAAGCGTCGTACCATCTATCTTGGAAAACTAACTCATTCCATTTTGGAATGATATTAGAGATTGGACAACCAGTATCAGAAGTACAGAATGGAACACCACAATCCATACATCTAGCAGTTTCATGTTTCAATTCATCTTTAGATAATCTTGAAGTCATTTCATTCCAATCACTAGTTCTACCCTTAGCTGGTCTATATTTTTCATTTCTACGTTTGTACTTCATGAATCCTTTAATTTTATCTAATTTAACAACAGCTTTCTTTTCAGTATCAATATCAGTAACAGTGTCTTCTAAATCTAATACTTTTGGTTCCTTTTGTCCATCTTTAGCAGAAACTGATGATTTACTTGGACGATGAACGTGTCCTTGTTTAATTCTAGCAGCTTCACCATTGGTGACATCAGCATCTGGATCTTCTTTAATAGATTTTAGGAAAGTATTTAATTCATTCTTTTTTACTTCTTCTTGCTTTTTCTTTTCAGCTTCTAAAACTTTCTTATAATCATAAGGTAAAACTTTAACGAAACGAGGTAAAATTCTATTAAAATCATTCAAGATACGATCAGCAACTTCAGATCCAGTATAATGACGATGATCTTCAATTAAACCTCTCAAAAATGCAATCTCAGTTGGTTCAGTAACTGGTGATAATTCAACGTTTTGACCATTAACTTTTTCACCAAAATCTTGAGCTAAATCAAAAACATAAGCAATACCACCACACATACCTGAAGCAAAGTTACGACCAGTAGATCCAAGAACAACTACTCTACCACCAGACATATATTCACAACCATGATCACCAGTACCTTCACAAACAATGTTAGCACCAGAATTTCTAACCGCAAATCTTTCAGCTGCAATACCTCTAATAAAAGCAGCACCAGAAGTAGCACCAAAAAATGCAGTATTACCAGCAATAATTTGATCTTCTGCTTTAAATTTAGATTCTTGAGGTGGATAAACAATAATTCTACCACCAGATAAACCTTTACCAATATAATCATTAGCATCACCTTCTAATTCCAAAGTTATACCTGGAGCTAAAAAGGCACCAAAAGATTGACCAGCAGAACCTTTAACATTAACATGAATAGTATCATGAGGTAAACCTTGTTCACCAAAAGTTTTAGATACACGATATGATAATGTAGTACCTAAAGTACGATCAGTATTAACAACGTCACAATCAATAGTAACCGGCAAACCTTTAGCTAAAGTTAATTCAGATTCATCAATTAATTTATTATCAATTCTAACATGTAATTTATGATCTTGTTTTCTAACACAATGAGTATCGACACCAGGTCTAATAGTATGAGCTGGAGTTAAAATTGGTGATAAATCAAGATTAGCGTTTTTAGTATTTCTCAAATCTTCTCTAACTTTCAATTTTTCAGTTCTACCAACCATTTCATTGATAGTACGGAAACCTAATTTGGCCATGATTTCTCTTAATTCATTAGCCATATAATAGAAGAAATTAATAACGTGTTCTGGAGTACCTTCAAATTTCTTTCTTAATTCAGGGTCTTGAGTTGCAATACCAACAGCGCAAGTACCTAAATGACATTTACGAAGTAAAATACAACCCAAAGCAATTAATGGAGCAGTTGCAAACCCCCATTCTTCTGCACCTAATAAACAAGCAATTGCAATATCACGACCAGTTTTAATTTGACCATCAGTTTGTAAAATGACTCTACCTCTTAAATCATTTAAAACTAAAGTTTGATGAGATTCAGCTAAACCTAATTCCCAAGGTAAACCAGCATGTTTAATAGAAGTCCATTTAGCAGCACCAGTACCACCATCACCTCCAGAAACTAAAATATTTTCAGAACCAGCTTTAGCAACCCCAGCAGCAACAATACCAACCCCAACTTCAGAAACTAATTTAACTGAAGTTCTAGCTCTTGGATTGGCACATTTCAAATCGTATAATAATTGTTTTAAATCTTCAATAGAATAAATATCATGATGAGGAGGAGGAGAAATTAAACCAACACCAGCAGTTGAACGTCTAGTTTTAGCAATTTGAGGAGAAACTTTATCACCTGGTAATTCACCACCTTCACCTGGTTTAGCACCTTGAGCCATTTTAATTTGTAATTCATCAGAATCGGCTAAATAATAGGAAGTAACACCAAATCTACCAGAAGCAATTTGTTTAATGGAAGATCTCATAGTATCACCATTAGCATTAACTTGAGATCTAGCAGAATCTTCACCACCTTCACCAGTATTAGATTTACCACCTAATCTATTCATTGCAACAGCTAAAGTTGAATGAGCTTCCATTGAAATAGATCCATAAGACATTGCACCAGTGAAAAATCTACGAACAATTTCAGTCCAAGGTTCAACTTGATCAATGGGAACTGATTTAGAATTTTCATAGTCAAAATCAAGTAAACCTCTTAAAGTACAATTTTTAATAGCTTCATACTCTTTTTTAGAATAAGCTTCATAAGCACGTTCATTTTTATTTTTAACTGCATCTCTCATTGAAGCAATGGCTGCAGGATCATTAATATGAGTATCACCACCATCTCTCCAATGATATTCACCAGTTTCAGGTAATGCAGTAGGTTTAATAGTTTCACGACTAGGATAACCACGTTCATGCATTGAAAAAGCATCTTGAGCAATATATTCAAAAGTAACCCCTTTAATTCTAGAAGCAGTACCAGCAAAACAACGATCAATGACAGAATTATCAACACCCAAAGCTTCAAAAATTTGAGCACCTTTATAAGAAGCTAAAGTTGAAATACCCATTTTTGACATAACTTTTAAAATACCAGCATCAACGGCATGTTTATAATTTTTAATAATTTCATCATTAGTTAATTCAATTTTTAATAAATTTTCCCCATTCATACGTAATAAAGTTTCAATTGCTAAATATGGATTAATAGCATCTGCACCATAACCAACAAGACAACAAGCATGATGAACTTCTCTAGCTTCAGCAGTTTGAATAATGATAGCAACTTTAGAACGTTGTTTTTGTCTAACTAAATGATGATGAACCGCACCAGTTGCAATCAATGCAGAAATTGGTAATCTTGATTCATTAGTTTCAACATCACTTAAAATAATAATTTTATTATCATTAGCAATAGCTTCAGAAGCAGCTTGACAAATGGTATCAATTTTATTAATATAACCTTGAATACCTTGCAGTTTTTCAAAAGTTATATCAATAGTTGAAACTGTCCATTTAGGGAAAACTTGAGTCATATTTTTAATTGCAATTAATTCGGTTGAAGATAAAACTGGAGATTTTAATAATAAACGATTACATTGATCAGGTTTCATTTCTAATAAATTACCTTGAGGACCAATATAACAATCTAAAGACATAATAATTTCTTCTCTAATTGGATCAATTGGCGGATTAGTAACTTGAGCGAAAAGTTGACGGAAATAATCATATAATAATTTTGGTTGTTCAGAAATACAAGCCAAAGCATTATCATTACCCATTGAACCTAAAGCTTCTTTAGCTTCAGCCATTGGAGCTAAAATGGTAGCAATTTGTTCATGAGAATAACCAAAGGCAACTAAACGAGAATCAGTTTGAACAGTTGAACTTAAACCAAGGTCAGAAAATTCTAATTTTTTAGAAGATAAATCAAAATTTCTTGAAGATAATCTTGAGTATAAATCATCCATAGTAATTAAATTAGCCATAACCCAAGATTTAAAATCAAATCTTGAAGCAACATTATTTTTCAATTCACGATCATCAACAATACGACCTTCTTTAGTATCAACTAATAACATTTTCCCCGGTTGTAAACGACCTTTTTGTAAAATTTTTTCTGGTTCAACATCAATAACCCCAACTTCAGAAGCACAAATCATACGGTCATCATCAGTAACATAATAACGACAAGGTCTTAAACCATTACGATCTAAATTAGCACCACAATAACGGTCATCGGCAAAAGTGAATAAAGCAGGACCATCCCAAGGTTCCATTAAACAAGCAGCCCATTCATAAAAAGCTCTCTTTTTTTTATCGATATGTTCATCATTTTGCCAAGCTTCAGGAATCAATAACATAACTGCTTCTGGTAAAGACAAAACCCCATTAATAACCAATAATTCTAAAACGTTATCAAAGGCAGCAGAATCCGAACCTCCTTCTTCAATAATTGGGAATAATTTATCTAAATCATCACCAAAAATTTCTGAAGACATGATACCTTCTTTAGCTCTCATCCAATTTTTATTACCTCTTAAAGTATTAATTTCACCATTATGAGCAACCCATCTTAAAGGTTGAGCACGATCCCAAGAAGGGAAAGTATTAGTTGAAAAACGAGAATGAACTAAAGCAAAATGAGCCTCATAATCAGCATTAACTAAATCATGATAATATGCATAAACTTGATTTGGAGCCAATTGACCTTTATAAACAATTGTTTTGGAAGAAAGCGAACAAATGTAAAACCAATTATGTAAACCAATTGTATGAGAAGATTGTTTACGTAAAATAAATAGATTTTTTTCAAAAATTTTTTGATATTTTTCAGTGAATTCGTCATCAGAAATTGATTGATTATAAGCTTCAGTTAAAACAATTGCTGGTTGTAAAATATAAGGTTCTCTTGAAAGAGAAGCTGGACCCAAAAGAGACGAATCATGAGGAACTTTTCTCCAACCTAAAACTGATAAACCTAAAGATTTAGCGATATTTTCAAAAGTTAATTTTGATTTTTCAAAAACTGAATCATCTTTTTTGAAAAAAATATTACCAGTACCATATTGACCTAAATTTGGTAAATCAATATTACAATGGTATTTAAATTCACGACATAAAAATTTATGAGGTAAAGAACTCAATAAACCAGCACCATCACCATCTTTTGGATTCAATTCCCCACCTCTATGGGTCATATTACAAAGTAAGTTACGACAATCAGACACTATTTTATGAGAGGCTTGACCTTTAATATGACAAGTGAAACCAACCCCACAAGCATCTTTTTCATATTCAGGATCGTATAAACCTTGTTTCACTGGTAAAGTTGAAGCCCAAGATTTATTTTCTGGAGTTTCATCATAATCATAAACCTTAGTATCAAACTCCTCATGAGGTAAGTAAGAGGTCATTTTACGCTAGAGGGATGTTAGTTAAAACAACTGAAAAAAGTGAAAAAAAAAAAAAAAAAGACAGAAAACAAAAAATAAGTGGAAAAAACTAGATTAAATGATTCAGAATCATTTCGGACATGACAATCGGAGGCCCCGCCGTTAATCAAAACCCGGGCAAAAGAGAAAAAAAAAAACCAAAAAATCAACCCATATATTGACAAAATAGGACAAGAGGAAACCCATAGCTGTGAGCTTCGGGAAATTTTCACTGCAAAAAACCAGAGACAAACACAAAAAAACACAAACACAAAAGAGCTAGAAAAGCGAGGCTAGTCATATCACCAGCCAATAGCATGGATGACTTTCGTAAGCACAACAAAGACTGTGAAAAGTAGCTGGAAATAATACATACTCAAGTGTTAACTGTAGACAACTAGAAGGGCGGCTAATAAAACTTTTTCCAAAAATAAACGCTTGCAAAATTAGAATAAAGGAAATAAAACAAATACCCACTGGACTAATTACTCCAGAATCTATAAGCACTAGCAATAACCCTGTTATTAGAAGAAGCGGCCCTGAGAAGTAAAGAAAAAGAAGTAGAGAAAACAAAAGTAATTGATTTTTCAAAATTGATTCACTTAACCGCTGACTACTAAGATCGAGTTTGAATATCACCAACCAATGAAATCAAAGCATTTTGTCATATATACACTCCCCTTATCTGTTTGCAAAAAACCAAACGAAAAAAAAAAAAAGCTGTGAGACATTTTGCAAAAAAGCGGAGAAACCCACCACGCGGTTCCTTTTACTCCAAATTGACTCTGGCAGCTTATTCATTTAATTCCCGTCGGATTTTAAAGATAAGCTGGTTATTAGTGGAATTTTGGTTTTTTTCTTTCTGGATGTACGGAGTATTCCGTGGAGGAGTCCACCCGTACATTCCATGAAAAGGTGAAAGAAAAAAAAAAACAAGTTCACGTGACCAAAAGTCGTGTGCCAATATCTATTTTCCTCGTTGATGTTTTTTCGATGTACGGAGGTTGTCAATAATTGGCAAAGTCTCAACAGACTAATTGGTTATACTCGGCGAAAAATGGAAATTACTTAGACAAATTGAACAAACGATGATCATCACCTTTTAATTTGATTTACAATTCACCATTTTACCCCAGGGAAGACAGATATATATATAGGCTAGTGTTACCTTATATAGACCCGGTTTTGATAGTAGGATAACTGGGGCTCTCACCTCACTAAAATTTCTCGAAAAAACCAAAAGCTATTAACGTCGATTCAAACTTAATTAGAAGTGACGCAGTCACACAAATCATTTACATGTATTATAAAGAAGAGATATATATAAGTTATCAATGAGTGCACCCAGTATATCTTCACAGCATGGGGACTCACCATCGCAATTATCACATAGTAATTCCAATACTAATTTGAATGATGGGAATATACTTTCTAATGTTGGTTCACCAATAGGACAGTCTCCTTCTAATAACGCTGCTTCACCTCAAAGTGCAGCTGCAGTGGCAGCTGCTAAGAATTTCTCCAGAACTCCAACCTCTTGGGACGCTGAAGATGATATTTTATTAATGCATTTAAAGGATGAGCAAAAATTAGGTTGGAAAGAAATTGCTAGTCATTTTAATAACCGTACTCCAAATGCTTGTCAGTTTAGATGGAGACGTCTTAAATCGGGTAATTTGAAAAATCCGCCTAAATCGGCTTCTTCCATTGGCACTCCTCCCCAAAATTCCAAAATGAATAGTCCAATTTCTTCAAATCAATCCATAAATAAAAAACCTTCCAACAAAAAAATTAAAAAGGAGCAGCCTGGTGGTGGATTTCCTTCAACTTATTCTCCGATAAGCAATGCTACTTTCACTGGTTATGATAATACTATTTCAAATGCTTTAGCTGGTTTAAATGCATTATCAAATACTCCTTCTTCAATTTCAAGTCCAGCTCCTCCCCAAACTAAATATATTAATACTACTAATCATCCTCAAACTTTTGATAAATCTCCTGATTCTGATCAAAATGAAGTTTCTCTTGATCCTCAATCTCATAATAACATTCCTCCAAATGCTGGTGGTGGTTATTATGCAGATATTTCAATTGATCCAACAATGAATTTGCCTCATAATCAACCTCATCCTCATGGTCCAGCTGCTTTAACTACACCTCGTCATTCCATAGGTCATGCTTCAGCTTTAAATAATTCTACTTCCAATAACAATCATCATGGTCGTCATAACTCAACAACTGGTGCTTCTTCTCATCTACATACTGCTACAACTGCTCCTAATTCAAATATTCATAATAATTCTATTATTCAAATCGTACGTGATGAACGTAATTCAATTACTGATACTAGAGCTTCAATCTCTTCTCTTCCTTCAAAATCAATGAATATTCCTCATCACCAACTGAATAATAACGCTTTGGCTCATTTACCAATTCTTTTCGGCGCTGGTGGTAGTATAAGTGGTCCCTCACGTAATTCAAGTATTAGTGGTGCTGCTGGTATAATACCTCAAACTTCAGTTCCAAGTTTAAGAAATGGTAGTATCGTTGGTGGAACAAGTATAAGTGGAAATTCAAGAGCTTCAATAAGTGGTCCGCCTTCTAATTTACCTGGTCATGGCCTGGGTTATTATTCTAGATCAGGATCAGTTGTAATTCCTTATAATGCTGATCGTAAAGAAGACGAAGTTTATAAATATGATACTAAAAAGTTTTCTTCAATTTCAAATTCATCTAAAAAACCGAAAAAGAAAAAATCAAAAAATGATAATAAATCTTCTAAACAAGGTCCTGAAATTTCATTACCTTGGTCAATGGAAGAAGATGAATTATTAATTAATCGTCGTACTCGTGAATTATCATTTGCTGAATTATCAATCTTATTGCCTCAACGTACTGAAGGTGAAATTTGGTCAAGAATTGATTATTTAGAAAAACTAAGAAATGGTCATCGTCTGTCTTCTTCTCGTGATCCTCGTCGTCGTAAATCTTCAATTGGTCTTGGTGATGTCGATGATCTTTATGATGATGTTGATGATGTAATTGGTGGTATTGGTGTAAGTGAAGATGAAGAAGATGACGACGAAGATGACGATGTCTTAGTTGATGGCGTTGATGTTGATGATAATCTGTATGTTAACTCTAGAAAAAGACGGAAAAGAAGAGCCAGCTCTGCCGTTAATCCTCTTAGTGTGGGTAACTCCATTCGAGAAAAACTACGTTGATGAATACGCCTTTTAAATTAAAAATTACTGAATGTCCTTTAGTTCTTCATTTATTTTTTATTTCTATGATTTTCTTCTTCCCTTTGTTATTTTTTCCAATCTACTCTTCTATATTGTTTTATTTCTAGACTATTTTGATTTTGAATGATTTCTATCACGATTATTCTGTAAAAAAAAAAAAGAAAAAAAAAAAAAATATATATATATATAAACAAATTCTTAATATCACGTACTTTAAAATATCCAGATTCTAATGTAAAATTTGCAGCAATATGATGATTGATCCTACATTGAAACTTGATGACTGTTTTACTATTCGAACTATATATGCAATGTGCCTTTTTTGATGACCAATTTAGTATAACTTCAACTCCAGGGTAATTTCATCTAATACTAATTTTGGAGCAGGCCCAAGACCCAATACAGTGGCACTTCCTGCTGCAATCTGGGTTCTACCAGCATCATGGACAATGTAACAATTCACTCCCAAAGACATAGCTTGTGCAAATAAAGTATCCATTTCTTCTTGATTCGGAACTTGTAAGGTGATTTTGGCTTGTCCATTAGCATATTCCCATCTGTTAACCATTTCTGGGTTATAAGCTTCAGATTCAGGGTTGGTTATCTTCTTGTATAATGCTAATGCCGCATGCAGGCATTGAGCTGCAGCTTTACCTTTGCCCATTTTCAAATCCTGTCTGACCACTAAAGTCATTCGAACTTCACCAGGAATTTCGTTTAAAGAGGTCGAATTGATATCAATTCCTTCATCTTCACTCGAATCAGAATCCTCTTCCAATTCTTCATCTTCCACGTAATCGTAGGAGTCTTCGGTGGCATTTTCCGAAGTTGTGAGTATTGATGATGATAACGAACTGGGGGTTTTTTCATTTAGGTTCTTCAACTTCTTCGACTTATTGGAGGACGAGTTTTCTGGCGATGCCGTTGCAGAACTAAGGATCTGGTTAAGACAGAATCCTGTCACCATGGAAGCAATACCAACAACAGCCAACTGAGACCAATTCGTAGACGTCATTGCTGAAACTAAATATGAGTATCTTTCAAACTTGAAGAAAGAAGCTCTTAATGCCCTATTCGATTTTTTTTTTTTTTTTGTTTTTCTTTATTTTTTTTTTCCTAGTAAAACGCAGTCGCAGATTGATCTAAAGAAACCCTTCAATATTGGCCCTGTAACAGACACAATAAATATGAAACTTATTGAAGTGTTTGAATACTGGGGAAACAGACACGGATTGGTATTGGCAGTTGCCCTTTAAAACAGAACTAGAAAGATGCATCCATTATGTTAAGCTGCTAAAGTATCAAGTTGCAAAAGAATTAAAGGGACATCACTGTCAATCTTGCAAAGGTTGAAACATATTGCAGATTACGCCAAAAGCTTCTTTTTTGTTTTACTCAATGGCTTCTTTTTCTTCTTCTTTTCTACCTTGTTGGAATAGTTTCTCCAATTATTGACCCTGATGTCTCTTTCATCTTCCCATTTAGATGCCATTTGCTTCTTTAGTTCACGTTCTTTTTGAATCTTTTTAAGCTCCTCTCGTTTATTTGCTTCTTGTCTTTGCTGAAATTTCATTTCAACTTCCTTATCTTTAATTTGTTCATTCAAGATCACTGCAACTTTTTCCCTGATTAGCTGATTTGTTTCATCATAGAAATAATCAACAATAGGTTTCATGAGTTCATCCAGTACGCCTTTATATATATTGATGAGATTCTGCTTTTCATGAATTCGTTTGCTTGTGTCTTCATCTAAGTTATTAACATCATTTGATTCGGGTATGACTTGGGACAAGATCATTTCCGATTTTTTCAATCGATCAAAAGCCTTAGGAGCTTGTATATTTTGGGTTTTATCTGGATGTAAAAGAAGAGTCTTCTTTCTATATAGTTTTTTCACATTAACATCTATGGATTTTAATTCAATCAATGGATTCAATTCAAAAATAGCAAAATGATCCTGTTCACAACAATTGAGAACTCTCTCGATTTCCTTATCTTTAGCAAGAGCCAGCACTTCAGAGGCCAATATTCTGTCTAAATCAGAAGACATAGTATAGTTCAAATACAATTTTGCAATGAAGTTGTAGATGGAAAATAATCAATTTCGAGCACGAAAGAAAAAAATTATTGAAAAAAACAAAAAAAAGTCAAACTCAGGTATTATTGCAAAAACGTGAAAATTAATATATGCTAATTTACAATAAAAATAGCTTATTAAGAAGTATGTCTACAGTTAGTCGATCTTGGAAGCCTCGCTATTTCGACATCGGGGTTAATTTCTCTGATCAAATGTTTCAAGGTTGCTACAACGGATCAACCACCCCAAAGCACCCAGCAGACATGGAAAAAGTTATAGATAGGGCTCATACCTTCAACGTTGATAGGATGTTGATTACGGCATCTAACATAGAGGAAAGCGAAGAACATTTCGATTTAGTCGATAAACACAAAGGTTATTTTGGTTCTACCGTTGGAGTCCACCCATGTTCAGTGGCTCAAGAGTTCTATGTGAGAGATGAAGAGAGCGGAGAGTCAACTAATCAACTCAGACCTGACGTGGATGAAAAACTCAGTAAGCTCCATCAGCTAACCATCAATGGATTTGAGAAAGGTTTAGTGAAAGCGTTTGGTGAAATAGGTTTAGATTACGACAGATTACACTATTCTACCAAGGAGCAACAACTTGTTATGTTTAGAAAGCAGCTTGAGGTCATTGCCAAACTCAAGAACCACGAAATCCCCCTTTTCTTACATATGAGAAGTGCATGCGATGATTTCATTGCCACGATAAAGCCATTTGTAGAAAGAGGTGAGATAAGAAAGGGTAATGGTGTTGTTCATTCGTTCACTGGTACAACGGAAGAGTTAACCAAATTGCTTGATTTAGGATTCTACATTGGTATAAATGGATGTTCTTTAAGGGCAGAGGAAAATTTGGAAACTGTTAAATTGATTCCGAAAGAAAAGCTTATGATCGAAACTGATGCTCCCTGGTGTGAAATTCGAAAGAGTCACGCCAGTTATAAGTTTATAACCCCATATCCTAACAAATATTATCCTGAGATAAAGTTAGACGAACCGGTTAAAAAAGAGGATTCAAATGATGAAGTGAAAGCAGAAGTGGAGGATGCAAGAAAGCCTAAGAAGCAGCAACCAAAATCAAAACTCCCAATAGTAAAGCTTGACGATTTCCTACCATTTCCTTCTATTAAGAAAGAAAATTTCTCAAAACATCAAGATGCTATCAAAGTATTAAAAGAGAGTAAAAAGATTGAAGAATCAGTGGATTATACTAAAATAGGAGAATTTGCATATCCTTTAATGAAATCAAGGAATGAACCAGTATTTGTGGGATATGTAGCTGAGATAATGTGCAAGCTTTACGGAATAGAAAAAGATGAAGATATAGAGAATTTCATTGACTTGGTATATGAAAACTCATGCAAGTTATTTAAGTTATAGATTATTGTAAATATACATTATAATACAGCTAATTAAATAAGAAAAATCATATATAATTTGCACCTTATGAACGTTGACGACGAGATGATTTTCTACTGGGGCTTTCTTCTGAGATTGATGGAGACTTTCTTGACCTAAGACTTCTAGACGGCGAAATACTAGAAATGGGGAAATTATTAGTTATGCGTCTTTTGGTTGAGTTTTTTGGGCTAGAATCGAGAAAAGGATTTTCATTATTCGGTTTGGAGACAATTGTGTCAGGTTCTGTATCACTATCTTGAAAATACTCAGTTGTTTTAGAAGTCAGGTTACGGTTAACACGTTTACTTTCATTCTCTTCAATATCAATAGTTTCGTCTGGATCGACTTCATCCGAATTTATTTTATCATCATCGGAATCTTCTAGTTCATCATCTTGTACAGGTTCAACTATGGCATCATCGTCGTTTTCTGAAGCTTCTACTATATCATCATTATACTCGTCATCATCATCAGGATTTTCTAGATCATCATCATCACTGAAAAATTGTCCGTACTCCTCCGGGTTAACAAAGTTATTTAATTCGTCGTCATTATTTTCATGCTTATTTATGGACTTTTTGTTTATGGATTCCGCGACAAGACTTTGAGTATTTCTACCATTAGAGTTAACTTCAATACCAGGATAACATATGATATAATTATTCAAATCTTGATCACTATTATGATTATCTAATAATTCTTTTTGAAACATTGGATTTTTAGTATTCAGTTTCTTTGGAGATGCTTTGAAACCACTGGAATATTCAATTTCTTTATATGCTTCTTCTTCATAAGTATAAGGATTATCAATATCGTCCTTCAAAAAAGCCTTAATCATGGATATGCTATTGCTAGGAATATTTTGTTGAGGTTGTTGAGAAGTCTGTCCATTTAAAAGGGGACTTTGAAGTTGATTTTGAATAGCTACTGCCGGTGCGGAATTAATACCACCAGATGGACCAAATAACATTGGTTTCCATAATAGTTTATCGTAATCTAATTTAACGTAGTTTTTCGAATTCCACTTATTAATAGCTTGATTAATTTTACCTAAATTTAATACTATGGCATAAGATCCTGAGACGGGGTTTTTAATGAGAGAATCTAGTTGTTCGAGTCCCACTATGACATCAGACGGAATCATACCAGTTAGTTTAGACAATGTTTCTATTGAAAGGGATATATCGGAGGGTTTATTTGATTCAGGTTGATTGGATCCAATATATTTAGTATAAATTTCTTTTAACTTGGAAGCGATAGTAACTTTCCAATAATTTTTATAACTTAAGAGTCCAAGATCACTTAAAGGTTTTTCTGGGGTACCAAACTTAAATTCATTTCTTGATAATAAATAACTAAAATCAATTAATAAATTACCATAACCTTTACGTTGATAAATTGGTAAAGTTAAAATGCAGCTAACATTATAATCTGAGTTATTAAGTTTTTCTTTTGAAAAATAACCAACAAAATGATACTTATTAAAATTGAATTCATCAATTTCTGTCAAAATATAGAATACAAATGGTTCGACATCATAATAGAGAGTTTTCGAGTTTAAGAATAATTTTGCTAATAGACATAAATTTTGACAGTAATTTATATTTTTACGGCCATCCACTTCCCATACTGCAATTTTAGTATCAAGATCTCTATATATTTCAATACCTGGGGGATGACTGTTTGATAAGTTGCAATTTTTTAGTTGATGACGTTCATAAGAAACTGGAGATATCATATATTTCAAGCAATGTTCACACACATATAAGATTTTTGATTGGGAATATTCTTCAGGATAAGGAGCAGTATACCATGTATCAATTTCATAATCTCTGAATTGAATTTTACGAATTTGAGATTTTAGATAGTTTTGTGGTTGTGATATGCCCAATGGAACAGGAGTTGATCTATTTGACAGCTCATTGAACTGATCCCCATTGATGAGATCATTATCAACCAAATCTTTTTGGTTCATCAACCGTAGTTCTTCACCTTCTTTTAAAAATTTATTGAATAACTCTCTATCATGGCTAGTAGGATCGGTATCATTAATTGTACAATCGGGGAATGGAATAAGTCCTTGATAAGGTAATTCCTTAGTACTTAGGTCGGGAAGAGTATTGGTATAATTATTGGGTAGATTTGATGGGTTAAATTTCAAGGCATTTTCATTTCTTAATTTATCATCATTAATTTTTTGATTCAATTTTCTAATTGCAGAAGCATTGGAACTTCGATATTCACTCAAAGAAGAAGGAGTATATTTTATCCGGATGATTTTGCTTTTATTAGATGATGACAAGACTTCAATTGGCGATGATAAATGCAGTCTTTTACGGGCTTTCTTTTTGGGGCCATTATATTGATCCAGCTTGGAGGAGGAATGTGAAGGGTGTTTGTCGTACGATGGTTTAGATATAATTCCATCCCTTTTCTGGTCTCTCCTCTTAAAGGAAAGCCTAAGTTTGCCCTGCTGGTTTGACAGAGACTTGGAGGAATCATTTGATGCGGCTGAATAACGAGTCGATCTAAGCATATCTTTCATAGAATAGGTTGGTCCCAGACCATTGGATCCACCAATGGAACCATCATTTATTTGGTCTTCAGTACGCTGACGTTTCCTTCTTTCTGATCTATCCTGGATAGTAATATTTTCATATATTCTATTATTAGTTATTCGTAGTTGATCTAGTAATCTGGACATACTGCTCTTTCTTCTTCCCTCTTGTCTTCTTCCTTTTTTTTTTTTCCTTTTAATAGCTTACTATAAGTAAGTGAGAGACATCAAGGGGTATATATAAGAGCTGGGAACCTGGAAATGTTTATTTTTATATATTCGATTGGTTCTAGGTATGATTGTTCGAAAAAATGAAAAAAAAAAAGAGAAAAAGAAGAAAAAATTAAAGGGAAATAGTACAATTGTGGCAAGCCCTTTTTCTTTTCCTTTATCAAAATCTTCTCTTAATGAAGGCAATTTGAAATAACAGTTGATTTGGTAGCAGTTTGTTTGCAAAACTTGAGATATTGTTCGTTTATACTGGTCCAAAAGTTGTTGTTTAGCCTGAGTATTTCGCGGGAGATGTTTTTTTTTTTTTTTTTTTTAAGATTTTTTAAGCTACTTATCAGGTGTACGGATTTCAATAATATTGGTGATAAAGAACATAGAAAAAAATGTATAGAAGATATTATATATGATCCAATTATATTCGAGACAGAATAATATATAGGAAAAAGAGAATAGAAGTAGTAGTTTCATAGATGAGCACTCATCAAGGGGGAGAAAATGAACAAAAAAAAGACAGACGAAACTGAATGAGTATATGGGTAGATGAGTAGATTAGTAGTAAATGAGCAGTATGAAATCTAGAAAGATGGAACAGAATCTGCAATTGAACATCAAGTAAAAGGTTTTAAAACAAATAAAAGAATAGGGAAAACAAATGAACAAAATTGAAATTGAGAAAGCGTAAGCATCATAACAATAAAAGGGAAAAAGGTGAAGTTAAGGAAACCAAAAGTTAAATTTTCTAAAATTGACATAATAAATAATAATAATAAAAAAAATACAAAAGGGTATTAAGATTATTTTTTATCTTCATTTTTATCTTCATTTTTATCGGATTGACTATTATCACTACCATGATCATCGTCATTATCATTATCTTCGTCATCAACTTCTTCTTCGATATGTTTATGATGATTTTCATCATCCGCATCATCATCAACACCCGACATTCCGAAATGAGCCAATAAAGATTGGGCAGATGAAGTATCCAAGTAAATTACTCCATTTTCATTAGTGATGGCATTACTGGCAATTAATTTTTGTAAAGAAATTGCACCATTACCACCATAAGAAGGATCATCATTATCAGCATCCTTTTCATCAATTTCATCAAGTTGAGAAGTTGGTTCTTCATTATCATCATAAGACATACCGCGAGAAGAATTATTACCACGTAAGCCGGGTATACCGCCAAACATTGAAGAATAATTATTTGAAGAAGAACCATGATCAGGATTACTATTTGCACCTTGTTGACCAATTTCGAAAAAACTACCAAACATTTCTTTATAGATTTCATTATAAGGAGCGGAAATTGAACCATAGTGAATTTTATCATCATTATTTTTTTCTTGTTCTAATTGGGATTCAATTTTCTTATTAATTTTTTTATACCAATCATCTAAAGTTTCATTTTTAGAGTAATCTAAAAGAGCCACAATGGCAATTGACATATTATCACAACCAATACCAGAACCATCGCTTGTTGGTGCGCAACATAATTCCATAATTTCTTCACAAATGGTAGTTAAAGATTTATTTTCATAAATACCTCTTCTAACACATTCAACACAATTTTGAGAAGTTAAACAATCCCAAATACCATCACAAGCTAAAACAACAAATTCATCTCGTTCAAAATCAATATTATGTTGTATAACATCTGGATAACAAGTGACAATTTGTTCTTCAGCAGGTAAATCAATATTTTTTTTAAATTCAAAATCACCAATCCCACGAGATAATGCTAAATTCCCATTAACCCTTCCCATATCAACATAACCGCCAGCACAAGAAATACGAGCTTTTTCTCCTTCGTTTGAAGGTTTATGATCATAAGATAATGCCTTAGCAAAACCATTTATCGACATAATCGTTCTTGAATCACCCGCATTACCACAAATGATTTGAGAAGGAGTAATAATAGCAGAAGTGGCAGCACAACCACTATCATCTTCTTTCATATCAGAATCTTGTAGAATAGCTTGATCACAACTTAAAAAACCTTCTTTCAAAGCATTTATATAATCTTTTTTATTAAAAGCTTCAGTTGATTTAATAATGTCATGTAAACGATCTCCAGTGAAAATAGCAGCTTTTTCTCCTCCATGTCCATCATAAACCCCAAAAAAGGCTATATGTTCTTCGTTGGAACTTTCTCCTTTGGTCTCTTCGTCATCGCTATCATTCTTCATATTGTACAAATCAAGAATGGTAGCATGAGAGTCTTCCATATTAATTCTCCATCCTTGCATACATGATAATCCATAAGCAAGATATTTATCCTTACCATCTTCCGAATGTTTTTCGGTCACCGGGTGTGAAAGTATCTGACCCATTGTATATTTGTTATTCGGCTAAGTGATTTCTAATTGATCTGAATCAATTGTTGTTGATAGTAACAAGAATTAAAAACTCCCCAAAAAACTAAAATACAAACAAAAAAAAAATCGAAAAAAACTTTGGAGGGAATAAACCAGGATTTGATGAAAAAAAAAAAATTGAAAAGAAAAAGAAAAGAAAAGAATGAATGCTTGCAACCAAAAAAGGTATCTTCTAGTTCTTAATCCCAATAACTAATATGATAATTACTGGAAACGGGTTTAAAATTGGTCTTCCCTTGTTTTATTTATTTAAATTTTATCAATAAATTTTGATCAACGAAGGCAACCTTTCAAAAAAAAAAAAAAAAAAAAAAATTTTTTTTTTTTGACCGCTTTTTTTTTGTTTTGTTAGCGATTTTTTCTTTTCTTTTTGGCTCTTCCTATTTTTTTCGGTTCGTGCAATTCCTCAGTTTTTTTTGCAAAGCATTTTTTTTTTTTTTTTTTGTTTTGTTAGCAGATTTTATCAGCAGATTATATAGGATTAGATGATGAGATGATGACATTGGGATCAATTGGTGCTAAGGGGTTCTGTGAATCAGTAGGGCCAGTCCACCAGCTCACCAGGGTACAGTCTACTGATGTGACAGGCGAACGTTTGTAGCCCATTATTGATCGAACTAACATGCTGAGATTGAAGTTGATACATGATTACTTACAGTCTACAAGAGTAAATAGTATATATATATATATGTAAACAGTATGGATAGGTCAAGGATTACTGCAAAAAACAAAAGTCGGTCGTGCATTCAGCGAGTTAACATATACCAGAAGCCACCGACGATGAAGCATATACTTTAGGAACACCCAGTGCCATAGTAACTTCCAATCCCGAATCACCCACCGTGGTAGAGGAACAGGTCAAAAGGTCAACCACCTGGTCACCCTTTTGGAAACCGGATTGGGAAAGAGTCACGCTTGGAGAAGCAGAAGCTCCAACATTAGTGAAAATTGCAACCAAATTGGCCTTTTTAGTAGCAATGGTATGATCGTCTGAATAAATGATCGAAGATACGGTAGAAGGGTAAGAATTGTCCTTATTGGCCGCTTGGTTTCGGGCTTGGTTGAGTTTTGAAATGAATTTGTAATATGCTGAATCGGTATCGTACCCTGCCAACCATAACGCTTCTCTATTTTCTGGATCTTCAGCCCCCAGTAGTCCTTGCTCTTGTCCATAATATATGATTGGAATACCATCCCCCAAAATGGTGAATGCAATTGCATTTTTAATTAGAGCTTTGTCTTTGACTGTAGACCCTAATCGAATGATATCATGATTTTCAACAAAATTACCTAATAAAGTAACGTCGTTACATTTCAGTTTAATATTGTCAATCATTTCAAGTAATTCTCCAGAAGTGGTTTTGGAATTTTGGAAAAATCTTAGGACTGGATAGTATAATGGGTAATTACTAACACCAGCAATATAATCTTGATAAGGACAAGTATAAGCAGAATCTCCTTCGAAAACTTCTCCTAAAAGAAAGACCCCGGCTGCTTCAGTAAATGGCTGGTAAAACGAGGTATCCATATGCTTAGCAGAATCAACTCTAAGACCGTCAATGGTATAGTTTGAAATGAAATCTTTCACCCAAGATTCAAAAACTGATAACACTTCATTATCCTCAGTTTTAAGATCTGGTAAGGTACTAGTTTCCCAACATTCTTCAACTAAGGCTTGGTTTTCATAATCAGTGATTAAACAATAATCATGGAAATATTTTTGTTCATTGAATGGAGTATAGACTGAATAATCGATACTAGGACCATCACCGGCTGCTCCATAATGATTGGTTACAATATCAACCATTAATTTCATTCCACGATCATGTAATTCCTCTGATAGTTTCTTCAATTCATCAGCCGTACCAAAGTTATCATTTATAGTATATATATTTTTCATCCAATAGCCATGATATCCATAACCGTATTCGGTTTTATCAGGAATTTGTTCAACAACTGGAGAAATCCAAATTGCAGTAAACCCCATTCCTTGAATATAATCTAACTTATCAATGATACCTTGAAAAGAACCCCCACAGTACTCTCTTTTTGAAACATCACAAGATGCAGATGTACTACCATCAGTTCTAGCAAACCTATCAGTAACTATCTGATAAATAGATTGATCTCTCCATAAATCAGCCGATGATTTTGCATCTTTTTTACCCAAAATAATCGGCTGGGCTGAAGCTAAATTCAAAATTACTGAAGCGTAAATTGCAGCTGATGAAAATTTCATTTTCTTTCTTGTATTATTGATTAAACTCCATTTTTGTGGATTGGACCCTAGTATTTATACTTTGGATACCCACCCCAATAGAATAAATCTCTCTTAATGATACTTATTTCGAGTTATGGAATAATTATGTTTCCGAAGTGGAGTCGACGCAATTGCAGCCTTTCCAAAAGATTTGATCCAAATGGGAAAAGCAACCAACAATGCAGCAAAATAACGTTGGAATTTACCACTGTACATACAATTATGATTTTCTTTTGTTGTTTTTAATTCTTTGGTTTTGCACTTGTACCACCACAAGCACCATGAGAACCAGAATACTACATTGTCAGCTCAATAATTTTAGTTACTGGTTGTAGAAAATGATAAATGAAAAATTATAAATCAGGGAGAATAAATTAAGACAATATTGAGAAAGGCACTTTGAAACAGTGGGTTCATTCATTTTTCAGTAACAGGTAATAGTATTGTTTCAACATTCCTACTTTCTTTATTGTTGAAAAAAGGGGGAATGGCATATAAAGCTAAATATCTATTCCACATAGAACAATGAAACGGTGTTCCTTGACTACTAAATCGCAAATAAGTAACCTAGCTAAAAAACCTTTTACAACTTCGTATAATATACGATTGGTAGTAAGTGTTTAAGAAACTGACAGATGACAGGACAAAAAACATTTCAAAATTGGCATGTAACTACTCAGTCCCCTTTGTTTTAAATTGACTATTTATATTTTGTTTTTGTATTTAGCAACTCTAGGTATTTTGAACTTTTGCGATTTAATCAATTTGATTCGGAATTATTCTGTTGATGTTTTGCTGAACGCTAATTGCGTCGACGCAAGGAGAGACCTGCTTCCTTGATTGTAACTACGTAATTGTGAAATATATTCGGAAAGATACATGTTGATGCGAAAATTCATGTTTTTGCAATCATAAATCACTACAGTACTTTGGAAAGAATAAACATAGCATTGAATTTGGCATTAAGAGATAAATTTAGAAAAGATCGAGACTTTTTCTCAAATTAAACAGATGTCACATTATCTATCATCATAAACACGTAATCATAACAATATAAGTCTCACCTACGACTATCAAAGGGCCAATCTAGACAAACAAAAAGCAGAACGAAGAACAAAAGAAGGCAATCAATGAAGGACGTGGGAGATGGCAGAGAATAAAGAAAGAGATAGAATGTTATACATGTATATATAAAAGGAGCAGTAAAATATAGAAAACGAAAACGGGTGAAAAGCAAACCAGAGTTAGAATCAAGCCAATGAGAGCCGCAGTGATTTTAAAAACAATAATTTATAGGATATGAACAAAAACAACAACAAAGAACCGTAATAGAAAATTTTTAAAGCATGAAAATTGAAAGAATGATTTTTTTTTTTTTTTTTTTTTTTTAAATTTTTTTTTTTTTTTTTTTTTTTTTTTTTAAACTTTCTGTTTTTGATTATTTAGGACCCCAAATACCAGAGTTTGAAGAGCTTCCAGTTCCGACAGGATTTTCAAATGGATGACCACCTAAATTCAAGCCAGTAAATTTACTAGAAATAGTGTCATTTAAACCACCAGGAAATTCATCAGTGGTAGATGAAGAAGGAGGATGTAAAGAGGTAAAACTTCCAGTTAAATGAGTATGTTGACCGAATGGAGCAAATCTTGAGTTAAGATCGTTATTACCCAAAGGTGTTGAAGGTTGACTTAAATGAGATGATGAATGATTATTTGAAAAAAAAGGATGTTGGTGAATAGTTTGTTGAGTTGGAGGTTGTTGAGAGGAAGGATGATGTTGAGTATTTTGTTGAGGATGTTGAGGAGTTGGAGAATCATTAACTGATTGAGAAGTTTGGGAAAATGAATTAGCTAAGGGAGGGGTAGATCTTACATCAACAAATGATCTATTATTTGAAGATCTTAATAAAGCAGCTGCACTTGTAGTTGGAGTACCTAATTGAGGAGGAGGAGCAGTAGTTGATTGAGATGATTGATTTGCAGGAGCGGATTGAGGTAATCCAGTTTGTTGATATTGACCAAATTGGGGATAAGATCTACCAGTTGGTGGTTGTTGAACTGAAGCATGTAGAGTAGCCAATTGTTGATTTGGACCACCAGTTGATTGTTGCAGTTGTTGTTGGGATTGATGTTGTTGGTATTGAGGAAATTGTTGTTGAACAGGAGTTGAAGTTTGTTGTCTTAATCTTGGTAAAGGTAAAGCTGATTGAGATTGAGATCTTAATAATTCTGGAGGATGGGGTAAGTTTTGATTACCATTTGGTAAATTTTGATTTTGATTTGAAACAATTGCGGATAATTGGTTTAAATTCATCATTGAATTAGAATGTAAAGGCCCTGGAGGAGGGATTGGTTGACCATTTGGAGAAACATTATTTTGTTGAGATTGATTTTGTTGTTGTTGTTGTTGATGATGGAAGTGAGGACCCAAATTTTGTTGGTGACGTTGTTGAATTGATTGTTGACCAGGTTTTCTTCTAACAATGATTAAACCATTATCGAATAATTCTAATAAATTTAAAAAAGAGCATAAAATAGATAAAATTTTTCTGTGAGCCAAATGTAAATTTGGGGGGAAAGCTAATTCAAAAACAGATTTTGAAACGTCATCTCTATAAATAATTAATTGGGAATATAATTCCAAAACTTCTGGGTCATTAAAGTTTAACTCTGAAGGAGGTAAACCAATATTTAAGTTAGTGAATGGGAAAGAAATAAATAAACGTTCAGTTTGAGAAGAAGATTGTTGGCCATTAATACTTAAATTTTTAGTTGCTGCCGTTGTTGAAGCAGCAGATAATAAAGAAGCTAAAGAAGCAGTTGAAGTTGAACGATGTTGTTCTTCTAATTGACCTCTTTTTTCTCTTTTTTCTCGTTCGATGCGTTCACGTTCTTGTAAAGGTAACATTTTTTTATATTCAACTCTTAATTTTCTACCGCCAATTTCACGACCATTTAATTGATTAACAACTAAGGAAGTTTCATCAGTAGAGGTAAAGTTAGCAAAAGCTAACCCTCTGAAAACCCCATTATCAAAATGATAATTAAAAGCATAAGGTAAAGGTAAACTTAATTTAGTCATAACATCTAATAATTGTTCTTTTTTAATTGCAAAAGGAATATTTTTAATTACAATAGCTGTTGGAATTAATTCATCATCATCATCGTGATCATCATCAACGTCATCAAGATCAGCATTTGTACTAATCATACTGGCATTAGGATTGATATTAGAATTAACATTCATCGTAGAAGTGGCATTAGAAGGTTGTTGTTGTTGTTGTTGTTGTTGGTGTTGGTGTTGTTGTTGTTGGTGCTGCTGTTGTCTTGAAATTGAACCATTTGAAATGGTACTATTTGATTTTTTAGTGGTAGCAGAAGTAGTGGAACCAGGAATATTAGTCGAATTGGTTGATGTACTTGGACCGGATTTTAAAGATTTATCGAGTTCATTTAAATTTGATTCAATAACCTTAGTATCAATACCACCCAAAGATTGCTGTTGTTGTTGTTTTTGTTGTTCAACCCAAGGACCAACATTATTGGCTACAACTTGTTGTTTTGGAGGATTAACGATCGAGCCATTATTGGAGGGATGACTTGAGCTCAGAGATTGGTTAGTACTTTGAGGCTGCAACCAGGAATTATCATTTGGAGGTTGATTTGACATCCCATTACTAAAATTTCTTGTTTGACTCGATAATCTTTGATTAGATAATTGAGGAGTTGGATTAGTAGGTTGATTTCCATTACCAGCTCCTCCGTAAGTGGAAGAAGCGTACCCTGACGTTGAAGAAAGGGAAGATAAGGAAGGACGACGCTGCATGACAGAGTCTAACTGATTCGGAGTTGAAGATAGGTTTCTTAAATCCATCACGAAGTCTTTCAATATACTTTGTTTGCTTTTATTTTTTTTGTCTTCTGCTCAGGGACGAAAGAACAAAAAAAATTTTAGAAAAAAAAAAATGGATAAAAAAAAGACCAGGCAAAAAGGGCTCGAAAATGAGACTGAGAAAAAATTAGGTATGCAAAAACGTTAGATCCACAACAGCTGCCAGTAGATCAGTAAATAGATCAGTAAATGGATCAATAGAGTCGGTGAAACAGTCTATCAGTAGAGTCAGACGGGGTGTTAACAGATAACAGATGAACTAAATGAACAGGTGAATGAACAGGGTAAATGATCCGATGGATAGATCATATAATTGAGTTATGTATCAATAACGAGTAACAATACGGATGAATGACAAGGAACCAGGATCAATAAGGAACAAGAATCAATAGGGAACCAGGATCAATAATGAAAAATGAAAGATCAGCGAGTCGGCGTATGCAATATACGGATACTTGGATCAATGAACTTAACAAATGGAAATACACTAACAATGTACTAGCAATATACCAACAAAGATATATACCAATAAGATACAACAGTATAAGATACAACAGTATAAGATACAACAGTATAACAACAGTATAAGATACAACAGTATAACAACAGTATAACAACAGTATAAGATACCTATATAAATACAATAGATATAGATAGAACCGCTTGGGCGCTTAATGAAATGAATCGAAAAGGGATCTGGTTGAACCTAATGGAATGAATGGAGATGATAGGGAAACGTCGGGAGCAGTAGTGCGTGGATGTAACTACTCTGTTAATGTTGATGATGATTGAAAGAAGTGTAGTTGTATCTTTAGAAAAAACTTTCACTAAAGAAGAGAAACAGAAAACGCTAACAAACAAAGTCAATAGAAAAAAAAAAAAAAAAAAACGAAGAAAACGAAAAAACCAAAAAATAACCAAAAAAAAAAAAAAAAGACGACAGTTATTCTTCCGGTAGCTTTGTGTGGTGCGCAGACTAGCCACTAACCAATTGACTTATTATAATACTGTCCACGTGATTCCCGAGCTTATCTGGTTGTTAGACTACGGTCAGGTAGACTGGGAAAGCGCAGGTGTACGGAGGTTTTTTCGTGGACCACCGACCGACGAGTGGTGCGACATAAATGTACGGAGGTGTTGGGGGTTTTTTTTTTTCTCCAGCCCACGCACGCCTGTTGGGGTTTTACCCGCCCACTAAAGATACGTGTGATGAAAAATGGAAGAAATAATTATCAGTATAACCAATAGTTCAACAACAAAGAATGGTATGTCTATAAAAGAGAGGTATACAAGGGAATATACTAACTGGGAGTAGTCTTCATCTTCGGTTTCAGCACCAGCACCTGGTGGATTAAGAAGCGCTGCTAAAAGAAAGAATGCTCAAGATAAGAAGCAACAAGCTAATAATGCAACTCCATTATCCACTAGATCAGCAGGAGCAGGAGGATCATCAGCTACTATGTTAAAATTATTTACTGATGAAGCACAAGGGTTGAGGGTGGATCCATTAGTTGTTCTTTTCTTAGCTGTTGGATTTATCTTTTCGGTTATTATCTTACATGTTTTTGCTAAAGTTACTGGTAAATTTACATCATAAAATTAATTTTCAATTCGATTATATATTACATATCTTTAAGTAACGATTTAATTACTTTTACTAAACCATTAATGTGAACCAAATGTTTTTCCTGATTTGTATCTTTAATAATTTGCCAGTGGAAATCTTTAGATTGATATAAAGATTGCCAATGACCGGAATTTGAATATCTTTTACCTCTAATTTCAATTTCTATAATTGGGTAATTTTTACCAATAATAATTGTTAATGGGATTCCTATTAAATTTGATTGTTTGATTTTTTTACCTAATCCAACACCATTTCTATTATCAAGTCTATAATCAATAAAATTTTCATTTAATAATTCATAAAATTTTTCATTGCCATTATTTAAATCAATAATTGTAATATCCCAAGGAGATATTATTGAAGGCCAATTAAAGCCTTTTGAATCACGATTGATTTCTCCAATAGCGGCTAAAATCCTACTAACTCCAATACCGTAACAACCCATAACTAAATTAGATTCCCCAATATTTGGAAGATCAATACTGCAATTTAAAGATTTAGTATATTTATCACCCAAATAAAAAGTGTGTCCAACTTCAATTGATTTAAATTTATCAAGAGTTCCCTCTTCACATTCAAAACAAACTTCTCCTTCATTAGCTAAAACAATTGGAATATCAGTAAGGGTGGTCATTAATGATCTATTAATGAAATTTATGGGGAAATCGGGGAAATTTGATCTTGAATTTAATCGAGAATCCATTATTCTAACAATTTTTTTATTAATTAGAGTATCTTCATTACTGAAAATATTTAAAATCTCTTGTTGATTATCAAAGGATAAATCTAGATCGGGGATTTCTTCTTTTATGAATTGAGGATTTAATATTCTTGAATTTGGCCAGTAAGCACAAATTAAAGTATTTTGATCGGTGGTGGTGAAATATTTAACATCAACTTGAGAATGTTCCTCTTCCGATTTAGGATAACTTAAAGTTTTTTCAATATTTGAAGAATGATTACAATTATTACAAGTAAATAAAGTATCTTCACCGGCTGATTTATGCAAATAATGCCATTCGTGACTTAAGGACCCACCAATATCACCAGTATCAGCTTCAGCCTTGACAAAGGGAATTTTCAAATCTTGGAAGATTTTATAATAAGCACCAATTACTTTTTCATACGTTTGCATTGCATTTGCTTCATTTATATCAAAAGAATAAGCATCTTTCATTATAAATTCCCGGCCTCTTAAAAGTCCACTTCTAGGTCTTTTTTCATCTCTAAATTTTTCATTAATTTGATAATAAGTAATTGGTAAATTTTTATAACTTTTCAAATTTTCTTTAACAAATTGAGTAATTTCTTCTTCACAAGTTGCAACAAGGCAATAATTTTGTAAATTTGAATCTTTTAATTTGAATAATTCATTATTTGACCATCGATTTGTCTTTTCCCATAATGAAGAGTGGGATAATAATGATAAGTTTATTTCTTCACCATCAATTTCTTTCATTCTATGGTGAATGATTTTTTTAATTTTATTTATACTGGATAACCCAATATTTAACCAATTTACCAACCCTGGTTTTGGATGAGTGAAAAACCCAGTTTTAGTAAATAATTCATGAGTAGGGATACTTACATTTGGAATTTCATTATTACTAAAATATAGTTTAGGTACTCTTTTAATATGTAAGTATCTCTTCATACTGATGGTAGAGAAAAGCAAAGCAAAAAAAAAAAAAAAAAAGATTCTTGCGAAAACATTTATTTTAACTATTTAAAAAATTATTTATCTAAATTATGAACATCTTTTTTCAATGGAACGTAATAGTTTTGGTCAATATGTTTAACAAAGTCATCCCCAAATTTTTTCAAATTATTTAAAGAGTCTTCAAAATCCTTTTTAGCTTGGTTGAGATGAGCGTTAGCTTTTTCCTTTTCGGAAGCTTCTTCTTTAGATCCAAATAACGAGGATGTCTTTGAAGAGAGCTTGCTGGTCAAGTCCTCCAAGTTGTGTTTAGCCGAGTTATATTGGTCAATGGCGGCCTTCTTCTCCTTACTTAAGGTGTCGTTGAATTTTTTAGATTGAACGTCGTATTCGTCCTTGACTTGTTGTTGGTATTTTAATCTAGTTTCATCAGCTTCTTGTAATTTTGATTTATTCCAATCCTTAACGTCGTTTAGTTGGTCATTAACTTCATCCTTTTTGGCGGACCCCCAGTTTAACCAATTCTTCTTTTCTTCTTCGGCCTGACTAGTCAATTGGTCTTGTTTGGAGGCCCCCCAGTCAAACCAATGTTCTTTGGAGGCTTCTAAGTTAGCCTGTTCATCCTTCTTTTTAGAGTCAAACCAGTTGAACCAAGATTTGGATTCGTCCTCCACCTTGGACTTCAAATTTTTAGAATCCTGGTTCAATTCCGTGGTTTTGGCCGTGGTTGACTCACCAAAGGAATTAATCACGTCGATGTATTTATCAGCAAGTTTGATTGGCAAAGTACGATTGTCTTTTGGTTCTTCCTTGACTTGATTGAATAAAGACGAGTTTCTCGTTTTGGATTCAATTTCCTTCTTTTGTTCTTCAAAACGATTGGTTAATTTATTCCCCAATTCCTTTGTTTTGGAATCGATTTTTTTCAAGTCAAAAGGTTGCTTCTTGTCATCTTCAATTGGAGGAACCTTGTGGTTGGACCAAATTGGCTGGACGTTTTGGTCGTAGTAGTAAGCACCACCGGCAGCAATTGCACCTAGAGCGATAATTTGAGTTGGTTTTGGCATTTTCAAGTGTGGGTTGGGTCTAAGATTGGCATGAGATGATGGGGATAGCATCCCTTATATAGCGAATATATTTGCTACCATAAAAATGTCTATTGCTAAAAGGTCACCCTGCAGAGGAGGATTGCGCTCGTGGCGCCCCACAATCACGCCTACACTATACTAATATACTATAATACACTATAATACACTATAATACACTATAATACACTATAATACACTATGAGTATAATACACTATGAGTATAATACACTATGAGTATGGTGTATAATCTACTATGGTATAGTGTGTGTGGTGTGTGTAGTGTATGATGTATAGTGTATGTATAGTGTATGTATAGCGTATGTATACTGGTGTATACTGTAAAGTACCTCACTGGCAGCACACGAGTAGAGCATATATGATACAGTAGAATGATATGGCATGGGGTCACGGTGTCGAGTAGGTCAATCTCTTGTATAGGTGATACCGCACGGTATATAATAATTGAATAGTACCAGTATAATAGTTGAATATAGTATATAGTAATCATTAAATATACTAGTAATGGTATATAGTAATAATTAAATATACTAGTAATGGTATATAGTAATAATTAAATATACTAGTAATAGTATATAGTAATAATTAAATATACTAGTAATAGTATATAGTAATAATTAAATATACTAGTAATAGTATATAGTAATAAATAGTACACTGGGTATAGTAGGTAGTATAATATATTAATTATGTAAGTGTAGTAAATGATTGTGTGTAGTGAGGTGTGACTAGCAAGGACAAAACACCCAAGCACCAGCACCAATGAATGATCAAATTTTGTCTTTTTTCCCAATTTGTTGTACGGGAGATTGACTAGATCACTCAATCGGTTGATCAACCTTCAAACTTAACTGGATATATGTTATATGAATAAACCCTCCAAGTTTTTTCTTTGGTTTTTTCTTTGAAATTTGTCATAGACCATGCTGACAAATGAGTTTAATGAATTTAGTGAAAATATAGAAATAAATTTTAAATTTGAGTCAAATTTAAATTCAATTTATAATTTATGGAAAATTACAAATTTAAATCAAGATTTATTAAATTGCAAAAACTCTTGTAATAAAAGATTGAATAATAGATCTTGGAGACTACTAAATAAAAAGTTGATTCAAAAAAATGAAAATTATTTACAAGATTTAAGTAAAGAGTCCCTCAGTAATCTTAAACCCAATAAAAATCAATTTTTGTCAAATTCAAATTCTTACAATAATTCAAATCGTCCTCTGTTATTTCTGAATAACTCAAAGTCAACGTTATTTAGTCATAATTCAAAGTTAAGTTTAAATGGTAATCAGATAAATCAAGATATTACTCCAATTTCTTCTTCAAATATGAAAAATCTTCATAATAATAATTTACAATCTTATGATTCGGATACTTCTGATATTTCAGAAGATGACGAGGAATTTGTTTCTTCGGATGATGATGATGAACAAGAACAGGTTCCGGTTCCCAAACCTCAACTTAATCGTTCCAGAACTTCTTTTGTAAGAGGGTTCCTGCCAAATCAAATCTCTTCCAGTAAAAATATTTTTTACATTACTCCTTCTCCAAAAAATGACGGCTCTCAATCTGATAATTATACTAAACATGATGGCTCTCAATCGGAAAATTATAAAGATGATGGCTCTCCATTGGAAAATTATAAAGATGATGGCTCTCAATCGGAAAATTATAAAGATGATGGCTCTCAATCGGAAAATTATAAAGATGATGGCTCTCCATCGGAAAATTATAAAAACGATGGCTCTCAATCGGAAAACTATACCAAACATGATGGCTCTCAATTGGAAAACTATACCAAACATGATGGCTCTCAATCGGAAAATTATAAACCTAATGATACCAAAAATCAACTTCAAGAAACTAAACCCCCCATACAAAGACAACCTTCTTTATTCAATAACAAAATCTCCTACAATCAAGGCGATACCAGCTTATCGTCAACCGATATCTCGGAAGACGAGTCAGAAGACGAATTCAGACCGCCCCCAACCATCCCTTCGCAAAATAACTCGCTACAAACTTACCAAAATTCAACTAAATCAAATGAATCAGAATGGTTATCGGTCTCGTCGGAGAGTGACCACTTATCCCATTCCCCAACCCCTTTAAAATTCGATAAAAAAAAATCAATCCAAATCCCAAATTCTTCCTTATCCAAAATACACTCGGGTGAAACCGATATCATTAAACAGGACGATTCTAAACCTCGATCCTTACTTTCGGGTCTTTTCTTAAATGAATTGAATGATTCGTCTAAAAAACCTCTTTTGAAACGATCCTCCACTACCGGAATCATCACCGTTGATCAAGACCATTCGGCAATCGGGTGTGATAAAAATAAAATTAAAAGACCTTCCATCCTATTTCAAAAAAAATATACTTCAATGACTGATATCTCAAAAAATTACCCCCATTATCAAACTAATCTATTAAGAACAAGTATCTGGAATGATTTATCATCTCCTCCTAAACCGAAACCCTTCGTTGATGATGAGAACTCAAATAACTTATTCACCAAAAATAAATCAATCGTCGGAGTATCCGATTTCAACGTCACTACTAAATCAGATCCGGCAAATGATATCCCGTCTTCAAATCATGCTTTTAAAAATATCATTTCAAAATCTTCTCTCAGCTTATCGAATTTATTTTACCAATCGAAAAAATATCATGGCAAACATAAATCAAATAAACCAACTCCTGAAATCAAATCTTCCGAAACTTCCTTCAACTCTTTAGATCAATCACCTTCCTTAAATAACAACTCGGTGAAAACTGGTTCCGAAACAATAGACACTCCTTTGGAAACCGATTCCTTCTCGAAAAAATTATCTCCTAAATCAACAAGAAGAGAAATGATGTTATCGGAATTGAGTAATTCTTTAAAAGAATCAATCTTGATTGATTATAGATTAGGTAAAGTCCCTTTACCAACCCACGTCATCAAAGATGAAGAATTATTGAAGAATCATAAAAATAGATTGGGCTTGGACCCAAATGAAAATGATTCGGATGAAAATCATGATCTAGATGACTATCATTCAAAAGGTTGGTGATAATCTTGTATTATTTATTTAAAATCCCCGGAAAAAAAAAAAAAAAACCCAAAAAAAAAATCCAAAAAAAGTTACCTTCATTTCTTCCTTTTATTATTACTTTTCGGAGAGTATATTCTCCTTTCATATTCACTTCTTTTATACCAGTTAGAATTGTAGGATATCTAATAAATACTAAATGCTAAAGAAAAAAAAAGGACTGCGAAAATTGTAGATCATAATGAAAAAAAAAAAAATAAAATAAAAAAAATCAAAAAAAATTGAAAAAAGCTCCATCATCACTAGTCTTTATCAATGAAAACTTGTTATTACGAATTATTGGGTGTAGAACTGACTGCCTCGGACTCCGAGCTAAAAAAGGCGTACAGGAAAAAGGCTCTTCAATTACACCCTGATAAAAATCCCGACGATGTCGAAGGTGCTACTGCAAGATTTGCATTAATCAGATCGGCCTACGAAGTTTTATCTGATCCTCAAGAAAGATCTTGGTATGATTCTCATAAAAACCTGATTCTTAGAGATGATGATGATTTTGGCTCATCCAATTACGAATATGACGACGACCCAATAATTCCAAGTATTTCCACCGAAGAAATAATGAGATATTTCAATCCAACTTTATATACGGTAATGGATGATTCAATTTCAGGTTTTTATAATATAGTGGGTAGACTTTTCGAAAGATTGGCTGCTGAAGAAATAACCCATGGAAAATTTCAAAACTTATCTGGTTTTGATAAATTTAAAGATGATGCTCCAAATGTTAATGTAATTGATTCTTCGTTTTTAAAATTTCCTAGATTTGGCAATAGTAAAAGTGATTATCCCACTCAAATAAGAGATTTTTATAATTCTTGGTCTTCTTTTCAAAGTATTAAAACATTTAACTGGAAAGACGAATATAGATATTCTTCTGCTCCTGATAGAAGAACCAGAAGATTAATGGAACGTGAAAATAAAAAATCAAGAGATGTCGCTAAAAAAGATTATAATGAGACAATTAGAAATTTTGTTAGTTTTATAAGGAAAAGAGATCCTAGAGTTAAAAAGGGAGTAGAAGAATTTGAACGCCAAAAACGATTAAAACAACAAGAATCGATTACAAGACAAGCTAAAGCCCAAACTTTGCAAGAAAAAGCTTCTGGTATTAAAGACTTTGAAATTCAAGATTGGCAAAAATTAGATTTAGATCAATTAGAAGAATTAGAAACCTTATTAAAAGATGAATACCTTTCTTCAAGTAGCTCTGATTCAGACGAAGAATTCCACGATATACAAGATGAAAATGAATTTGAATGTGTCATATGTGATAAACTTTTCAAATCACAAAATCAATTCGAAATTCATGAAAAATCTAAAAAACATAAAAAAAGTTTGAATCGTTTACGTTGGGAAATGAAAAAGGAAGGTATAGAATTAGGTATCGATAAAGATGATATCGATCTTGAAGAATTTGAAACTGCCGATGAAGATGCTGCTTTGACCGACGCGGATGCTGCTTTGACCGACGCGGATGCTGCTTTGACCGACGAGGATGTTGAATTCACTGAGGAGGAAAATAACCTGGAAGCTTATACTCTGGATCACCATAAAGAACCAGCAGAAGAAAAAGACTCCGACAGTTTGAAAAGTAATGAACAAAATCTCAATCTTGATGATCTTGATATAGATGATGATATAGATGATGATATCGATGATGATATCGACGATTTGATTGATACTAATGAAGAATTACCGACTACTAAAACTTCATCAAAACTGAAGAAGAAAAAGAAACAAAAGCAAGGCGTGGTAGATTTCAAAGATGAAGAAGTTAACTCATTAGAAGCAGAACTTTCAAAATTAGGATCAGAATCCAAACTCAATGATTCCGATGATGATTGGATTGTGGGATCTAAAAAGAATTCCAAAAAAAATAACAAAAAAAGTAAAAGCGTTGCATCCACTAAGGTAAATACACCTGACGAGACTGACCAAAGTCCTCCACCGACAATTCCCAAGAATGGAAAAATCCCTAATGGTTCAGAAATATGTGTTGTTTGTAAGGAAGTATTCACTTCCAGAAATAAACTTTTTCAACATGTCAAAAACACTGGACATGCAGCTCCCGTAAAAGAGGTGAAGAAGAAGTCAAAAAAGAAGCGTTAGTCAATTTACAACTTATTTATTTATTCTATTAAATATATCTTTTTTTTTTCTCTTTCTTTTCTATAAAGCCACTAGATGGTATCTAGATTTAATGTATAATGAACGTCATATCTATTTCAAACCAGTCTTTGTCTTTTTCACTTTAGCTAAAACAAAATCGCTGCTACCCTTATTGCCATGAGCACCTAAACCTTCACCTTGAGTCCAACCAAGCTTTTCTAATAATTGTCTACCAATATTATTACGATCAATTTCTGGTGCATTAATACCAACTATATCACCTTCTTTGGCAACAGCCTTATTTTCTGGTTTAGTTCTTCTTCTCTGTTTATCTTTTCTTTTACCATCGGTCTTATCTATTTCATCCTTTGGCCTTTTGGCATCGGTTCTGTTGAAAATAGGTCTCTGTCTTAATATATTACCTACCTGGTCAAATTTAGGCAAATAATGGAAAGTCTTTCTGTTTTTTGAAACTTTTATAAAAGATTTTAACCCATTCCCACCATTTTTGGATGACTTCATATTATAACAAGTTGCCATTTTACAAATAGTTTTATTACCATGTGGGTCTAGCGGAGGGAAACTCATATCTTGTCGATTGGAGTCATGGAGGAAATTTTCAAACTCATCTCTTATATCCCTTATATGAAGAGAATAAGGATATTTTATTCTTAGATCATCATTAGCTAAGCCATTGAGTAGCTTTTCTTCTTCTTTTCTACTCTTCTTATTCTTCTTAGCTTCTCTGTGAGTTTGATATTGATCTTGTAAGGACTCAATTAAGTCATTTTCAAGATCAAATCGATCTAACTTCAACTTCTTCTTCTTACCTTTACCAGTAGTCTCGATAGATTGGGTTGATGGGAAATCGATTTCATCATAGCCTTGTTGACGCTGAGCTTGAGCTCTTGAAAATTGTAGTAAATCATCTAAGTTGTCGCCCTCCTGTGATACATCATCATCTTCTTCATCTTCAGAACTCTCAGAAATATAAACGTCCGAATAGTCTGGTTGAGAAAACTCGTCTTCATCAATCAAGCCTTTTGTTGCGAATTTCATATAACTATGAAGTCTATGTTCTTTAACACCTTTCAGTATAACAAAATCAAATAATTCATCTTCATCAATCCACATAAAATCTGACATTGAGCCAGTCAATTCAAAATTTTTAGCGTAGTATTGATTTTTAAGACCCAATCTGACATTACTGATGTCCAATTGGGATACGTCAAATTCATAATCTTCTGGGAGGAACCCATATTCTGGATCCTTAGAAACATCATTATCCGAACTTTGTGCATCACTATCTTCGTCTTCATCTGAGCTTGAGGATGATGCCATGATATCAAAATTAGTATCACTTTCGTATACATCATCATCATAATCGCTGTTTTCCTTCAGCATGTTATCCATTACCAGCTTGATATAGTCTTTATAACCCGAAACGTCATCATCTGAAATATCACTCATATCCTCACCAAAGTCTTTATTATTAGATCTTTCGTCAATAAATCCTGAACGGATATCTGTCAGCTCTGAAGAGGTCATTAAAGACGTCGTAGTGTTACCATCATGATCTCTTTTCGTATGTAAAGAAACATTTCCGACAGTTAGATATGGATCATGTTCAAGCTGAGTACCAGGAACTGGTTCAGCAGGCTTTGGCTGATCAACTAATGCATAAGTGGGTGGTTTTGATACCGCTGCAGAAGACATGATTTCCTTATCGCCTTCTGTATCTATTACGAAATCAATTGGATCGACGGGATCAATTTGGGTTGTAGCGTCATCCTTGGTTGGATCACTCTTAGAAGTATCATTCTTGGATGATGATGTTTTTTCATCTGATTCGCTTGATGTGTCTTCGGTTTCAGGAACTGGAACAGAGAATTCAGTTTTATGAGTTGTAACCTCCTCATCCGTTTTCTTATCAATACTACCAGAAAGGTCATCAGGAGTAATTTCAGTCTCTAGGCCCTTAGAAACCGACTCTTTGGGTAAAGTGTAACCATCAGAGTTTGAATCAGTTGGTGATTGAAGGTTTTCAACATTCAAAGAATTCATTCCATCCACAATATCTCCTTCTTTTTCAGACATTGTGTTTGACTTATTCATTTTTTTGAACAAATCTGCACTCGGATCATATACCTCTTTAGCCTTAACAAATTCTATACCTCTTTTACGTAAAGGCTGATTCACAGTTTGTTCAATATGTTTATCTGTATATTGAGCTTCAGCGAACATCTGTTGCCTGGCTGGACGTCTAGATAAACTTCTCATACTACCCTTTGGAACAGAGCTTCCAATTTCTGGAATATACACATTATCTTCAAGATCCATAAGTTCAGGTACATTGTAGTTAGGCATGGAATTCCCACGATGGTTATTAGATCTACCTTTACTCTTCTTTTTTTTGCCATTAGTGAATCTAAATCTGCCTCCTCTGCCACCACGATTGGCTAGAGATCCACCTCTATTTCTTCCACCTCTCTTGGGCATTTTAGTCTGAAAAGCTGTAATTTGGCTAGAGGTCCAATGCAAAATAATGAAGAAGTAAATTAGTCTTTTTTGTAGGCCATCGATGAATCATTTATGTCTCATACTGAGAGAGCAAAATGCGACACAAGCTCGTAGAGACTAACAAAAAAAAAAAAAAAAAGATAAATTAAAATGAGAAACGAAACCAAAAAAAATACCATCAGAGAAATTAAATGAATGCAAAAAAAACTCAGATACTGTAGCACATTGAACGATTCAAAAAAAAAAAAAAAAAGATAAACCATAGAGGAACTCCATGGTGATACAATAACCAACAGCTTCTTCTTTCCAACTATTAACAATCTATAATGATGGAGTCAGAGGGTCAGAAGAGCTTCAATAAGATGGAAGATCATAAAGCTAGTGATGGTCAATTGGACCAAGAAACATGTGTAAAAAAGGAGAATCAACAGGCTGACACGCCCTTCTCCTTATCTCAACTCTGGCAACAGTTGGTGAATACTGAAAAGAACATCGAGAAGAATCAAGACGAATCCAATGAATCTGGGGAGTGTCCCAAAAACGTTAGTATTGTAATATTAGGTAAGAAATATGTGGTGTCAAGCATTAACGATAGTGATGTTGAAGAAGATATATATTCGAGAATATGGCTAACATATAGAACAGGCTTTGAACCCATTCCGAAGGCTATGGATGGACCTCAGCCATTAGGGTTTATTCAGTCGATGATTTTTAATAGAAATATAGCTAGCACCTTTAATAACATGCATGGGTTTGTCGATAATGATAATTTCACAACTGACGTTGGCTGGGGGTGTATGATAAGAACTTCACAGTCGTTATTAGCCAATACTTATCAGAACTTATTATTAGGCAAAGACTTTAAGTTTCAAGTTGAAGAACAAAACGAACTACATAATAAGCTTATCGACGCATTCAAGGATAATTATGATCGACCATTTTCCATACATAACTTTATCCAAGTTGCATCTGAGCTGCCTTTACAAGTGAAGCCGGGCCAGTGGTTTGGCCCAAATGCTGCATCATTATCAATCAAAAGATTGTGCAAGAAGCTCAATAATCTGACCAATGAAGAAAACTTGCCGCAGCTTGAAGTCTTGATAAGTGAAAGCTCTGACATTTACGATGACGAAGTTTCTCAAATATTAAACAGTACCAGCATCTCTGGCTTATTGATTTTGCTTCCAGTAAGGTTAGGAATTGATAAAATTAATTCAATATACCATTCAAGCATTTTGAAGTTTCTTGCCTTGGATCAATCAGTCGGAATAGCTGGAGGGAAACCATCTTCAAGTTTCTACTTCTTCGGTTACGAAGAACCAGATAATTTGCTTTATCTTGATCCACATTATCCACAGTTTGTTAAATCGGAATATGATGCTTTCCATACTAAAAGATACCAATCTTTAAATATAAACGATCTTGACCCCTCCATGATGATCGGGGTTTTGGTGAAAAATGTTGATGACTATCTCCAATTCAAATCGGATTTGCAGGCTGATGGGAATAAAATAGTTCATTTCCATTCAAGTAAAGAAGTGAAACAAGTAAGAAGGGCCTCTACAAAGACAGACGTTCCCTCGGCCAGACAGAGACGTAACTCTGAATTCGTTCACGTCGATACTAAAGACTGCCATGACGATTTTGTCAGTGTTGCTGATAGAAAAGAGAATGATGACTTTATTGATCTTGCTGATGAATTTGATGATCCAGAATCATTACCAAGAGATGTCAATGGCGAAGAAGATCATCAATATAACACTCTGGAGAATGAAAATGGCCATCTATTGTCCAACTCAGCTGATTCTGGAAACAAGGATGATACCGTAAATGTTTCCAGGCCAGGGTCTCGACCAAGTGAAAGTTTTGATTTCATAGAGAAGGTTTCTTCAACGCAAGTTGAAGTTCTTGATGATAACTAGGATTTTTTACTGATCTTAAAGAAATTGGTATAAATGAACCCCTCCATCGACAACCATATAGAGCCATAGCTACATATAACTTGCTGGCAGGTTATTTAAATACATATATATAAGTCTATTGATATGTAGGTCGTGTATTGTGCTCGAAAACAACCTTAGAAAAAAAAAGTCAAAATTGAAAGTAAGACTTTTCAACTTCAATTAAGACTTAATACAAAAGACTTGTAATTAGTAACTGTGTTCATATAGCGCATTATAATAGAATTCAACTCAGTAGTCTTGGTATCTAGAAGCAGGATTACACAAACCTGGATATTCGTGGGATAATATACTAGAGACTCGATAAAATAGAGAAACACGTCCAATAACTGATTACGAGATACAATAAATAGAGAATGGTTGTGGAAGATAGTCTTAAGATTTGTACTGTTTGTGCGTCTAATAATAATAGATCTATGGAGTCTCATAAACAATTACAGGATGCTGGTTATAACGTTCAATCTTTTGGTACCGGGAGTGCAGTGAAATTACCAGGTCCTTCTATAGATAGACCCAATGTTTACGATTTTGGTACACCTTATGAGTATATTTACCAGGACTTAACATCACAAGAGTGTCATAAAATGTACGAGGCCAATGGTTTAATCACTATGGTGAATAGAAACCGATTTGTCAAAAAGGCACCTGAAAAATGGCATACTAATGCATACGCTGGGAAATTTGATTTGGTCATAACATGTGAAGAAAGATGCTTTGACTCTGTCCTCGATGATTTAATGTTAAGAATGACCAATAACAAAAAGGGTCCTGATGATGATAATGAAATAAAGCAAGTTGTTCACATAATAAATGTTGATATCAAGGATGATAACGAAAACGCTAAAATTGGTGGTAAAGGTATATTGAAATTAGTCAATATGATACATGAATTTACAAGAAAAGAGAAGCAAAAGAGAATCGATTTAAATGAAGATGTTGAAGACGAAGATAATCCAATTTTATTAGAAGATCAGATGATGAATATCTTAGCTGACTGGCAGAAAGAGCATACACACTTGCCCACCCTTTACAGTGTATCATACTATTGAGTATTCGCTAACAAAGGTGTCCATGGTTTCAATAGCATTTTGTATTATATAGCATTCATAATAGTAGTAAATTTGAATATTACTGACTAATGTGTACGGGTTTCAATTATTGATCTGAGACTTTTTTTTTTTTTTCACGATGCTCTATATACATCTATATATATGTATAAGATCTAGTTGTAAACGCTCCCTAAGACGGATAATGCCTCCAAAATCTAATCAGTTCAATAAAAAGAAGACTAAGCTTTATAATAGTCGGGCAATTCGATCTCAGAATTCTGATAAAGACTTTAAAGATGGGATACTATCGGTTCCACAATTCTTAGCATCGAGAGAATTTGAAATAAAAGCGTTTGAATTATCCCAATTGAATACTAAATATGCTTCATCTACAAGGGTATTTCAAAGTCTTCCGAGGAGCTTGAGAAGGAGGGCAGCATCTCATAATGTAAAGAGAATACCCAAGAGATTAAGAAATAAAGCCATTAGAGAAATGCAAAATTCAATCAATGGAGTACCAGCCAAAAAACACCACCCTAGGGGCCGTGAATTATACAGGTTACGAACTACGAAGAAACTATTAAGGTTGGCATCCAAAATCAATGCACTTAAGTCTGTGCCAACTGCCGAAATCAATGGAAAACTTAAATTAAGACAAAAGATTAAAATTTTGAATGAACAGATAAAAGAATTGGAAGATGGGAAAACTGAAAATTTCAAAGAAAAATTGTCCAATTATGGATCATGTGATAATACTGGAATCAATCAATTAGCACCAAAACCAAGAGGAAAATTAAAGTATAGCCAAAGACAAAGAGAATTTGTCTGGCTTCCAACGCATATTTGGCATGCTAAAAGATTTCATATGATCAAAAAATGGGGATATCAGATACCACTTAAGCCAACTCAGAAATGTTTCAAAGCAATTAGTAGAGCATCTAAATCGGGATGTATCATATATGAAGGATCATTCAATGGAACGATGATTATTGACTTGAAAGATGAAGAATCAATGAAATTGTTAATACAGCAAATCAGTAAATTCAAAAAGAAAGTTCCTGAACAATATTTTCGGGGAAAATCATATGATGACTGGATCTACATCGGAGAAAACAAAATCGGAAAAGGGTTGATATTTGCCGATATGAATACCAAGAAGGTGATGCTTAGGGTCAATCCTTCGTTATATACTGGATTATTTGAGCATGTTGTTGAATTGGTTAAAGGTCAAGGTAATGTTAATGATTGTAGATATTCGATAGGTTCCATTGAAGTACATGGACCTAGATCATTAAATTCACTAAGTCAAATTTTCCATTTTACTGAAGCCAGTGAAATTAAATCGAATTGGATCCAGATAAGTCAGCATAAAGATACTTCGCTAATCCCGGCTGGAACAACTTTTGCATTTAGTATAAAAGATCCAAGGTATTGGAAGCATCCAGTGAATCCACCACCCTCCAACTCCCAAACCAGTTTGATTGAAACTATAAGAGGAAGTAGTCACAATAAGATAATACCAGAAGCCATCAATCAACTATTTGATAATCACCAGCGAGAGATTTCTTATGAGAACCAGAAATCATTGAAGCAATTGGGGAAAGAGTATTCAATGATTAAAGCTACAGATAACTCGATAAGGGATAAGGAAGGGTCGATTCCAATCATGATTACCAAATTAAGCAATGATAATTGGGTTGTTATAATACCCTGGTTTTGGGTTTTACCAATCTGGTATAAATTGAATGAGGTACGAGCAGTTCAAGTTGGCGGGCTTAAACAGATTCATCAAATTAATCTTGAAAACAACAAAAGTAGTTATCCTACTGATTATCCATTTTTAAACCAAGGAATGCTTGAGAATCATTTGATTAGGCAATTGGAGAGAGATGTTTATATGAAGAAACCCAAAAGCAAAAAATCATTTGATGAATATGAATATGGGTTTGTTAATAATTTAAGTTGTGATTGGTATTTTTTAAGTAAATTAAGATATGGATTAATGAATTTGAGTGAAGAGGTGAAGAACAACTTCGAAATCAAATATGCATCTTTTGATGAATTGAATGGACGTAGAGAAATACAAACATTAAGGGACTTATTTGTAATGATACATAAATCAAGAATTGAAAATCCTCAACTAGAAATAACCTCTAATCCTTTAGTTATTTATAATGGGAAAAATGAATTACATCAGAATTTTATCAAGCAGCAGGTTAAAATCGACTATACGAAGGAGAAGTTCCCGGCATTGCCAGTGATTCAAATCAAACTACAATTACAAACCAAAGGTTTTATCACAGATCATGCAAGAATCTATGAATATACCAAAACCCCAACCAATGACCAATTCCAATTTAAAAACTTAATTGGATTCGTCACCAGCGGTGCCTACAACTTGACCTTGGGTAAGCCGAGCGCAGTCGGGTGTGTGAGTGCTGAGTTGGCCAAGGGCCCCATCCTTATTAAGAACGTTGGCTCTTCTAGGTTTCTAGCAGCCAATTGGGAAAAGATTTGATTTTGCAATCATTTCAGCTTATAGAGAAATACACGACCATAAAACTTTTTTTTTTTTTTTTTTTCAGTTTAAGTATTACCCGCCCACCTTCTCGAAAAGTATAAAAATCACTAGAGATCCATAAAAAACGTAGTTTTTTTTAAAACTTTTTGAATCTTCATACTTACCTTGAGATGTTATAAGAGATCAAGAAGTCTTATAACCGTAATCTAGTCTTAGGGACATTGCACAGCGTCTTGCTAGATTATTGCCAACTTTCTCATACCAAACAGATTGCCGGGTTTCTTTAAACATTAGTTTTTAGAAAACTCGACAGCTGGAGGAAGTATGGGTCTTAAAATTTTTGATTTCTTTCAACTTAGTATGAAGTTTATAGTAGATCAATGGTTAGAAATATCTTTTCAACTATTGTGTGATGGAAGTTTTCAGATTTATAAGTTTGGCGATTTATTGATTTGAAAATTGACCTCCGTACATCCGTATGATATGTACGGAAGTTTCTCGGGCATCTTTTTGAGAAAAAAAAAAAAGAAAATCGAAAGTTAAACTGATTTTTGGCCAGGAGAAATATCTCAAGTACAAGACACTAATTGAACATGAGAGCCCTGAGACAAATCTTAAACAAAATCGAATGGATAGTGACCATTTATGATAAGCCGGGAGTCGACAGACTTAAGTTCCGGCCCCAGCATCTCGCAAATGTGCCAACACTAATGCAACAAGGATTCATGGTGAATGGAGGGCCCATCTTCACCGACGAAACCAGAACCAATTTCATTGGATCACATTTCAATATTATTGCTAAGGACAGAAAGGAAATTATTGACACTTTACGAAAAGACATCTATTCACAAGAAGGAATCTGGGATTTCGAGACCATTGTTATCCACCCCCACTCTTCCGTAAAAACACGATAAACATCTTCTTTCAATAGAATGATGGTTCAATTCAGCCCATGTGTATAGGAGCCACACTAAGTATGAATTCACCCACCCTACAATGAAAGGGTACAATATACGTACCGAAAAAGTTACGATGCAAGAAAGCCTTTGGGCTTACGATGTAGCAAATTGACGAGCAAACCCTGTTTGGGCAACAACATCAACAATCTAAAAATAAAAGCCTATCTCTATTCTCTTTGGCTAGTATAATTTCTTTTCAAACTCGTGGTAAGAGCATCTTGAAACTTCCTTATAATGGAACATGACTCTAAGTAAAATTTGATGTAAAAATAACAATGTGACAATCCAACTAATTTGGCTTGTTGTTTTCCTAATCTGGATAAAACAATCTTGTCTCTTTTAGGTTCGCTTGCAGCCGGTTTGCAGTTTGTGACAGGGTTTGCTGGTTGCCGTGGAGTCTTTTGCAGGTTTGGTCTGCGATGCCCACCTCCTTTGCATTCAACTGCAAAAACGATAAGGTGACTAATGAGAGAGGCTTAAAATAGAATGTATAAACAAAGATAATTTCTTTTCTTGTTATGTCTGAAGGAGAATTAGTGGCTATTGTTTGGCAGGCTAGTTTTTCCTTTCTTATTCATTAGATGAAATGTGCTTGAAAAGTATATAAAGAGTAGACATCTGCTATCTTTTCTTTTATTTTTTTTGAAAAGTCATTAATCTATTCACTCGCTTCAAATCCATTAAATATGCAATTTTCTAAAGTTTTAGTTCCATCTGTTTTAGCTTCTGCTGTTGTTGCTTCTAACGTTACTGTCACCACTGACGTTGTTGTTACTGACTACACTACCTACTGTCCAGAACCAACTTCTCTTGTTATTAACAACAAAACTTTAACCATCACCGAAGCCACCACCATCACTGTTACTGGTCCATGTACCATCCCAACCACTTACACTTCTGAAGCTCAATCTTCTACCGTTGCTGCTGAATCTAAATCCGCTTCTAACGGTACTGCTGAAGTTACTACTTACGAAGCCGGTGCTGCTAAAAACTATGCTGGTTCTTTCATTGGTGCTGCTGCTTTAGCTGCTGCTTTATTCTAAGCAACCCCACTAACCTTTATATTGTTACTGGATATCCTATAAATTGTTTTTTTTATTTTATAATTCTTTCGTTTACTTGAATTGAATCGGTAGTGCTGCATTCTGATTTTACTTTATTTAATTTGCACGGTTACTTCAAAGTTTTCTTTCTGCGCAAACCTTCAATTCAGTTTTTTGACTCTTCTGTATTTTTAATTACCATAATTAATTTTTAATATATTCATAATTGAATGTTTTATTGTATTCGGTTTAATTAATGTAAGTAATATCCCTAAAGGTCATTTCAAGAAACTGCGAAATTATGCTCAGAAAACAATAGATTTTTTTACAATGCTGGCTTACACCAGCAAAAGTATCTCCATTATTGCTGTGAATTGAAATTCCGTTTATCTCTGTTCTTATGCCCAATCTTTTAACTGAGATACCAAAAGTCCAATTTAGGTGTTTGTTCCTACTCATTTTAGTCAAATTTTTAGCCAAACATTACATGCAGATAACCGTCTCATACAGAGAAATTTCAAAAAGGGGTGTAATTTCGTTACACTAATTAGATGGTTATCTACACAATATAATATTTTTTTTTTTTTTAGGTATTAAATATATAATAAAGGGTAATAATATATAAATAAAAATGACAACAACTTAATAACAATAATGATGTGGTAATAGTAGTAATAATAATAATAATAATAATAGTAGTAGTAATATACAACTCCATTGAAATTTATGATGATTTTGGATAAACTATTGTACAGTATATATGGCAAAAGGTAAATATCTTAAACTAGGAATATTTTTTTTTTTTCTTTATATTTTTTTGTAATTTTCTATTTTTTTTTGGATGGTTTTTGCTTAATTTTCTTTTATGTACGTCTTACTAATCCTTATAGCTTTTGGTAGACCAAAATGTAAGCAGTCTTGGTGGATTCTTCAACTCCGCCATCTAAGACATCGTTTTTATCCAAGTAGGAAATGGAAGTATCATCAATTCTAATCCATTCGTTATCATTAACCTTACCACCAGACTCATCGGAACTATCGAAAATCGACGATTTACGAAGTACATCACACGTATAATGTCCTCCATCGGTACCAGTACCATGATGGTAAATAACACCGGTTAATTTATAATGTTTTCCAACGTTATCTGGATTGGATTTTTGTATAATTGAAGAATAACATTCTTGAGGAATACTTAAATTATGAGCGTAAGTGATTTTCTTACGTAATTTTTCAATACTCCCAAATCCTCCTAAAGATTTAGTTTCGTCCTTGTTCTCTTTAGTTTCTTGTTGATATGAAAATCTCTTTAAATGGATGATTAAAACTTGAGGCATTTGGTCAAAGAAAGTTTGTTTTCTTGCAATTACTTCTTTATTATGAGATGATTTATAAGGAATACTTTCTGGTTCATTCAATTTTAAGAATGCTTCTTCAACAGTATTAATATTAGAATCAGATATGTCTAATTGAACACATTGAAATGGATCCAAAGTAATTGATTGACTTTCTTTACTTTTTGGTATACTTAAAACACTTCTAAATTGACCTCCAAAGATATTTGAAATTGGAGATGGTTCAATTTCAACAGTTCTTTTGGCACTAATTTTTTTATTACCTGTTCCTACTTCTGACCAACCATCATCATTTTCATCATCACTGATTTCTTCTTTGATTTCTTTATTTGAATCAGCATGTTTTTCAGTATTAGATTTCTTAATAATTTTGATTGCATTTTTAACATGTGCTTTGAACTCATTGTATGCTAATCCATCAGTAATAATCGATTGATAATTATTAATAAATGAATCAATCTGAGAAGTAGTCAAAGAATTAATTGATGAAACAAATTCTTCGTGTAATCCATCTAAAAAGTAACCCAAAAATTCTTCTGCGTCTTCTTGTTGGCCCCATTTTAAATGCTGAAATTTATCATGAGTAATCAAAGACATATAAAAACCTTCAGGTGATAATGACTTACTTCCGCTGCTAGATTTATCATCACTAAGGAAATCTTTGAAGAATTTTAAAGTCAAATCTAATAATGGAGTCGAAGAATTTTGATTTAATGATCCAATGGCTTTTTCATCAATTAATTTCAAAATCTTATTCAATGGTTCGCAATATAATAACACTTGTAAAACAGCATTCATATAACAAATATTCCCAGTATTGGTTAAACCTCTTGGTTTAACTTTAAAAGCTGAATAATTATTGAGATTTGCATAAACTGGATCAAACATTATTTTTAAAATTAAGATTCCCAATGGCTGAGCGGATTCATTATCAATTGTTCTTGTTGGAGTGGCCGAGCTCGAAACATGATCAATTGATGATTGTCGTTGATGGCTGGCTCCAGAAATGGATTTAGGTTTAGTATTAGAAGTAGTTTTTTTAGGGGCACTACTTTGTAAAACTGATGCCCAATTGGTGGTCATAGGTTTATTGGATGCGTCGGAGATGGATTTATTCAAATGACCAGATGATTTTGAAGTATCTTTATTATTAAAAATCAAAGGAGTGTTTTTGAATGATTCAGAATCGGAATTATGATCTATAATTTTTGTATGAATATTATGAATAAGAATATTATAATCACTTTCATGTTCTTTAGAGAATGCTTTGAGTTTTTCATTTTTCGATTTAAATGATTCTATTCTTTCATCGAAAATTTTATTTTGACTTTCTTTGAAATCATTCAAATTTGAATTGAAAAATAATGGAGCCTTTTTAATATTAGATTTGGTAGGTTGTTCAATAACTAGTTTATTAGATTCCTCATTTCTATTTTCGGTTGAGTTTTGAGGATTAGGAGAATGCAAAGAGGGTGTATTAGGTGTTTTTGATTTTGTTATTTTATCGTGAGAATCATCATCATTATCATTATTACTGCCATTATTGTTACTATTACTAATACTTTTGTTATCGTTATCATCATTATTGTCATTATTATTGTCATTACTTTGGTTTGTAGATTTGACACTCCTACTAACATGGTTATTATTATTAGACTTGATACTAGCAGTATCAGTTTTTGGAGATGAATAACCTGATGATGGAGTAGGAGAATATTGATGTTGAGGAAGAGGTGGAGGAGGGTGGGAAGAATATGGTGATTGTGGTACCGGTAGTTGATTCATTTGAGGGCTATATTGATGAGATGGATGTAATTGTGGTGGCTGATAATTTTGGTTTGCAAATCTTGGAGATTTGTTATTATTACCATTGACCATGCCATTTTTATGTTTATGATTTAATTTAGGTCTATGATTCATATTATTATTATAGCCATTTACATGATGGTTTGGTATGAACTGTTGTTGAGGATTGAACTGATTAGTTGGAACTGGATAATAAGGATATTGCTGATATAAACTATAATCAAATTGAGCTTGGGGCACCATAGTATAATAACCTAAATTACTATAGACAAAAGGGTTAGGAGCAGGAGCATTTGGAGGAGGATAGAATGATTGCATGTAAGCTTGGGCCATATGCATAGGCTGTTGATTTATTCTTGGAGATGGTGTTGCTTGACCACTTGGACTGAAAGAAGGAACATCACCACGAAAACGATTAGGTCCAGTGGCACCACTACTATTAGGATGGCTCGAAGAGGAGCCGGACAGTGTCGGATTGGAAGAAGCAGTAGACATGTATGGAAAAGTTAGTCTTAAAAAACCGAAAAAATTAAGTTAAATATAGATATGCTAGTTATGAAATCGAAGACAACCGCTAATAAAAAGTGTGGAAAAAAAAAAAACGGGCGACCCTTGGTCAACAAAGTGTTTAAACGTTAGTTTAATGAAATTAAATGACTTGAAATATAATGGATCTTCTAGGAAAAAGGAGCAAAAACGAAAATAAGGGTTGAAAAATTTATGATGAATTTTTGATTTTTCTCTTTTTCCGGGATTATTGCAACATTAAATCTGATCCAAATGTTGATTGGGTATGTTATTCAGAGGTAAGCTGAACTGAACTACTATGAAAAAACTCAACTAGGTGTTTGAGCGGGAATCAATTACTTGTGAAAAAAAAAAAGGGCCAAACTATTAAAAAAATACGGTCTCGGCTTTTCGACAATTATATTAGTGGATAAGATAATGCTAAAACTGTGGATCCACAAATTGTACGATGTTATGCAGCTATGATGGATGCTTCAATGCAATAGTGACTTCTGGGTAACGATTTAGTCCTGGTATTATAATAAAAGGAATAAATAAGCTGGGTTCAACCTGGTTGATTTTCCTCTTTTTTTCTTCAATTTTTTCTTCAATTTTTTTTTTTTTTTTTTTTTTTTTTTTTTTTTTTCTCACTCAAAAAATTCAGCGTTCAGTGGCCAACACTTCAAGCTAGCAAAAAGTGAAAAATTTTGAGAAAAACGACAAAATGAACGACATTGGGCTGAAAATACACAAACGAACTTAAAGTATGTCAAAGATATCGTTTGTAGTGGTTCTTTCATAGTTAGGGTAGGCTTCGAAGTTGTATAGGAGCATCAAGACCGCTAGTAGGTGGGCGCACAAGGGTAGTTTTTGAAGGTTTTTCATTTCTGGAATTAGGATTTTTTGCAATTTCTGGGTTTCTGGGGAGTCTGGCATCTTGGACATGAGATCAGCCATTGATTTCATGCGATAGTCATTGTGGTAACACAGCTGGTAAACAGTACATGAGCAATACCAGGTTTTCACATCAACGAGGTGTTGGGTTGAAGGGTTCGGTCTGAGTCTTTTGGAGGGCGGCGGCAGCAGCAGCTTGCCGATGGTTGGCTCGAATTTTTGTAAAATCCAATCGTTATTCAATTCCAACCCAATTTGGCGTAATTGATACCTAATATCAAACACTGTGAGTGGTTTCTTCAAGTCTGAGGTCAAAATTGGATCATTAAGCAGATCCCCCTTTAGATTGGGAGTTGGATCAGATACTTTTATGAAAATGGCATTAGAGGAATCCTGAGTTTCGATAAACTTCTTAAGCAACCCACAATCGTCAGGGCCATCACTTAATACAAGTATTTGAATAAGCCTTTCCTGGTACATGGCCAACGCCTCATTGTACATGGATCCATACATAAGGTTAAGCATGATTGATTTGTTAGCATCGAGTTTTATTTTTGCATCTTTTCGCAAACCTCCCGGTAAACCAACTGGTTTATGTAAGCCATCCTGGGCTCCATCTTGGGAAAGCCCAATGAGCTGATCTTTGAGCGACTGTAGCCTTTGCTGGAATATACTTCTGTCATCTGATTGTGGAGAATGGGGTTTCAATTCATCATCTATTCTCTCTAATAGCCGCTCTTCCACAGACTCTCGCGATATCAAATTACATAGAAGCAGCGGGAGAACAGAAAGCAATCCACTGTTAGTGTCGTGATAAGCATCGCCTTTTACTGGGCTGTTTTCTTCTACTGCCATCTATCCTTGTGAAGAAGTAGTGTGATATGTAATTGGTTGCAGAAGAACACCCAAACACACATTGACGCGTTGATGTTTTGATTTTTTTTTTTTTAACATTTCAATATCAGCCTTTGGTTTTATTGGTATTTGTTTTCTTTTCATACACTAAGTCATCTTTACTACTTGTCGGGATTGCCGTATTGAAAAATGAGTGGGTCAGAGCATATTCTGTCAAGTTCCGGGGTTCCAACACAGAATATCTACGAAGCAAGTAAAGATTTTGATTGGGAGAGTTATGTACCTGAAGAATTGAAAATAGACATTTCGGGTCTTGTTGACTCACAGCCAGATAGTTTACCGGTCCTTAGAAGCTTGATATACTATTATAATAAGGATGATGTTTCCAAGAAACGCAAAGTGGCCTCTCCATCTCCAGAAGTTGAAGTTGAAGATACAAATGTCGAACCATCGACCTACAACCTTGAATCGTTTACTATTGATATCAAGGAACCAATTGATTCAGCTCGGGTGATTGAACTGGTTTCCTCTATGTCATTTATGGCGCCGATCCGGAAAAAGCTTGACTTGGTATTCCATGTCATAACTGAAGGGGTTCCAGCATTATCAATTGTAAATCCATCCACCAAAATTCCAGAAATGACCTTGCTTAATTTAAAACAGTCAATTAAGTATTGTGTTCTTTTGCCTATGTTGGGTAACTCAACCTTATCTGATAAAAGGAACACTGGGTTATTATGTTTTTGGATTAATGATAATGCTACCGAATCCCTGAATAACCAACCTATTGTCTGTCAATTCAATTTAGATTTAGTGAAGAAACAATTTATTTCCAAGAAGAAAATTACTGCAGAACAAGAGGAGAAATTACTTCTAAATAATTCTCTTGATTTAACCAATGGTATCAAACCAATCAATGATGAAATAATTAAGTATTTTGAAAATCAATTCACCCTTTGCGGGATGGAATTGAATAATTATTTACCTTCGCCGAAATTGAGTAAAAATCATTGTATGAAAAATACCGATACTGGTATTGCGGTTTCAACACAAGCAAATGGGAAAAATGATTTGGTAATAGTTGAAGCTTATAAAGGATCTAAAGATGGATCATTGGTTTTAATTGGTAATAAACCAAATGAACCAGGTTATTTGATATTTGGTTTTAGAAAACCAATTCTTTTTTACCGATTGGACAAATTGATTAATGTATCTTATAGTAATATTACCAGATTAACATTTAGTATTTTAGTCACCTTTGGTTCTGAAGATTCCTTAGCAAAAGAAACAATTGAATTTGCCATGATTGATCAAGAACATTTTAATATAATAGATGAATTCATGAGTAGTCAAAAAATTGAAAATGATTCATTCAACGAAGATTTAAGAGAAAAAGCTACAAATCCTACAGAAAATACAAATGAAAACGACAAGGATGATTCGAACGACAATAATGCTGATCAACAACAAGCAGCAGATAGCGATGATGAAGAACAAGATGGAACCTACACTGGAGGTGTTGAAGAAGAAGAAGGAAGTGAAGACGAAGACAGCGAAGATGACGAAGAATATGCTTCTAATGCTGAAGAAAGTGATAACGCATCAGAAGAAAGTGGAGACGAAGAGGAAGAAAGTTGAGAGTTAGGTTAAAGTAGTGATCATTTCAATACCTATAATGTATTAGTACAAGTTAATTATGTATCAATAGAAAATATATTAATTTTTTTTTTGTTTTTCTAAAAAAAAAAATACAAATCAAAAGTTTCCCCATTAAAATGGGATAGACTATAGGAGAAGAAACTAAGCGTGTTTATGCAAGACTCATGAATAAATACAAAGATAAATAAATAGTGATTTTTGGAACTGGTATGTTTTTATTTTCTTTCGAAGATTGGTCTAAAGATCGATTCATAATATCAATGGACAATTAATTTACAAGGAGAAGTGAAGTGCGATTATTTGTATGGTTGGCCATATTTATCAAAATAGCTTGATAATAACCCAACTCTCTTTTGTGAAGTAAATCTATTATCAACTTGAGTATCGAGTTCGTGGAAAATGTCATCTTGAGCTCTTTGTTCACGTAAAACTTGTAATCTTCTATTCAAAAGTTCTCTACTTTTATCAATGTAATAATCAGAAATTAAATAACCACCAACAAAAAAACCAATGGAGTATGCATAACCTGGAACTCTTGACCAAGAGGCTGGGAATGACTTACCAATGAGTTGGACTTGCATTCTTCTGGTGACAGCACCAAGGGCACTACTCATAATAAGACCAGCAGCTGAAACCATGTTTAATGATATTTATTTGGTGCTTCAAATTATCTTCAATAACTAATATTAAGCTCTGAAGTAAGTTTTTTTCTTCCCAAGTTTATTGGCTGAACAACAAATTCATCAAAAAAACAGTCGTGCAAGCTCGGGAAAAAAAAAGATCAAACAAGATCCGTACATACTGATAATAAACATGTACGGATGTTTTCGAAGCGGAATTGGACTTTCTCTGCCATACATAAGCACGTATTATGGCGTACTCAATTCCGTGTTAACGTATAAAGACGTTTTGGATTCCTTGAAAGACTGATCTGGTACTTGAGATTATAGCAGAAGAGAGACGATGTCAAAGTATCCCTTGATAAATTTTTTCAAGGGCCACCCCACCAAGACCTTATTACCAAGGGAACAACTTGCTAACGGGTTTAGCAAAGTTTTACTTGAATCAGACTACTCTTCTTACGATGAAGATCCATTGAACCAACCACCATTGACTTATGGGACTGATCCAGGTAACTTGGATGTTAGAAAGACCATTGCAAAATGGAGTGATGTCAAATATGGACGTGAGCACGTTCCAACAGATGCAGAAAGCATCAATTTGACTGGAGGAGCCTCTTATGGGATTGCAAATATTTTAACTTCTGCCACTGACTCTGACATCACTAAACGAGTTTTCGTGGTATCACCCACGTATTATTTGATTAATTTTGCCTTCATCGATGCTGGTTTTGCTGATAAGATAAGTGCGGTTAAAGAAACCCCTGGTGGAGAATATGAGATTGATTTAGATGATTTAGAAGCAAAATTAATTAAGTATAATGAAAATTTAGGTACTGTTGGTGATCAAGAAATCAACATACAAAAAGATCCTACTGGTAGGCCATCAGTCAAAAAGTATCGATTTGTGATCTACCTTGTGCCTACATATTCTAATCCAGGTGGATTGGTGTATTCTTTTAAAACTAGAAGTAAACTTATTGAACTATCGAGAAAATATGATATTTTGATCATTAGTGATGATGTTTATGATTTTTTGAATTATGGGGATGATCAGGATCTAAGTAAAATTCCCAAATTTGTTCAAATTGACCGTGATACCTTACCTGAAAACTTTACTTTTGGGAACACTGTGTCGAATTCCTCTTTTTCCAAATTGATTGCTCCCGGTCTAAGAGTAGGATATCAAGAGACAGTTGGCAAACCATTAGCTTTACAGTTAGCCAGTACTGGTGCAAACAAGTCAGGGGGTACCCCAGGTCAGTTAAACTCTTTCGTTGTTCAAACTTTGATTAATAATGGTGATCTAGATAAGATCATAAATAATTTCAAGGGTATCTACAAAAAACGGGCTCAGGTTTTAATCCAAACCGTTCAAGAATTATTACCAGAAAAGTATACCAGGCTTTACGGAGGTGATGGGGGCTACTTTTTATGGGTTGAAATCAAAGCAGACAACGTTGATACCCGCAAAATCAATAAGCTTTTGGCCGATGAATACAACGTCGTCATACCAGATGGTGATAATTTCGAGGTTAATGGTGATGTAAAGAATTGGGGCCAACATGGCTCAAGACTTTGTGTATCATTATTGAATGAAGATGAAATAAAACAAGGTATACAGAGATGGAGAGAAGTACTTGAACGTGAACATCCAGAATTATTTTAATCAAACTGCTTCTTGTTAGTATAAGTTCATAAAATATGACCATTACTTGATTCATATATTCGGTTTATATTTCAGCGTAGATCTTGGTGTAAACTTTTTTCTATTCTCATGAATTTTCGAAAATAGGCGAAGTGTTATCATCAGATAAACCTGGATATATGATACGTTATATTAATATTCACATACTCTTTGTAGTTTTCAACTTAATTCAGGAAAAGAAGAGATGCTAACCTTTGGATTTCAACAACGCTTTTTCTGCGACAGGCTTGAAAAAAAAAATTTTTTGTGTGGAAGCGAAAAAGAAGGGAATTACCCGCATTTGCGGCAATCCAACGAAAACCCTAATCTAAAGGACCCAGACGATAATTTTGCAATCAAATCAACAGAAAGTTCCCCAACGATGCCTATTTGCTTCAAGGATTCGTGGCTCACTATCGGGAAGCATAAGGTATCGAGGCTTTCCCTATTTTCATATATCATGGACTGGGCGCTATACTTGGCTATACTTATAGGTTTTATGATATATGGAAGTCTAGTTCCACCGGTATACCATGAATTTCTGCTTGAGGATATTAGCTTGATGAATTCATATAAGCCGGAGGGAATGACTTTAGTGCCTATGCCAGTATTGATTCTTATAGCGGTTGTTTTCCCAATGTTGCAAATTATCTTGTGTTCGGTATTGCAAACCAATACCTTACATAGTACCCGGAAAGTATGGGACATTTTTATTGGAATGACAAGTTTATGTGGTGCTATGAGTATCCAACTAATGATGACCTGTATTTTGAAGAATATCTGTGGATTGCCGAGGCCTGATCTTATTTCACGGTGTGATCCAGATTACTCAATTGATTTTGTGAGTGGCCGTTTGGCCACTGTTGATGTTTGTCAATCTCCGGATTTAGTATTGGTGAGTGAAGGATTCAGGAGCTTCCCCAGTGGACATTCGTCCACTGTTTTCTGTGGAATGATACTAGCAAGTTTGAATATTTCCGCCAAACTCCAAATATTTGACTCTCGTGGGGTGTCACTTAAGTTTTTATTAGTGATTATTCCGATAATGATTGCATGTTTTGTTAGCTGTAGCAGGATTAGTGATAATCGGCATTTTTTAAGAGATGTTATAGGAGGACTGGCTATTGGAGCTGGGAGTGCAATTTTTTTTTACCTTCAATACTTCCCCTGGATAACCAAGCTTGAGAATTGCGGTAGGGCATACCCACCTCGAAGGATTGGCGTTTCGGTGTGGTGCAATAACATTGGAGGTTTTTGGAAGATCAATGATAAATTAGACGGAAGTTATCAAGAAAGATGTTTGAATGATGTTAGCATTATTGAACTGATTAAAAAAGTTGATTGTGAGTTTAGTATTGATTCAACCGAGTTTATTCAAACAGATAGGAATATTGAGTATTTCAACAGACTATCTGAAAAATTCAAACATCGGATATTCAATATTTCAAATAAGCAAAGAGCAACAAATACAAATTATGTATAAAAGACGAAATGAATATATTTTATTAGAAAGAAAACTTTTTATAGTACAATGAATTAGGTAAGTTATCTTAGACACTGAAAAGAAAAAATAAAAAAGAATAAGTCATATGTTTAATATTCGAAAGAAGGGAAAGAAACGTAGGAGCTTATTATAATATACCTCTAGCCTTTTTTCTAGCCATTCTAATTTTATCACTTGAGAAGTCCACTTGATCAGCAAAAGAATCAAGCATTGAATTTTGTTCAGAGACTTCATTATTTATTGATTCACCCAATTGACGTTGTCTAGCGATAATTTTTCTTAATTGTTCAACTTCTTGATCCTGATTTTTGTGGACTTGTTGTTGTTGTTGTAATAAGTCATTATTGTTCAAAGAAATGGTATCATTGGTTTCTTGAGGAATATTTCTTGGGTTACCAATAACTCTTTTATTAAATTTATTGTTAGAATCAAAAGAACCCGGGATATTTTTATAACCGTTTGAGCCAAGCAACTCATTTCTATTACTAGTGGCAATATACGAGTTATGGGATAATAATTTATCTTGAAGATTAGACAAATCATTTTCAACTTCTCTTAAAAGTAAAGATCTTCTTTGACATTCGTTATTTGAAATGGAATTATTTTGAATTAATTTTGAAAGAGATAATCGAAGTTTTGATAAATTTGGTTTTATTAATTTATTAACTTTATCTCTAGTTGCTATTTTGGAATTTATTGAATCATCATAATTTTTTGAATATTCATTAATAGTATATTTGAAAAGTCTTAATAACTCTAACCATTTAAATTGATTGATATGGCTGATAGATTTATCATCGATTATAAGATCTCTTTCATTATTAGCATTACCATTCGAAGAAGTTCTGAAAATTTGATCATTAAATTTAAAATTCAAAGGCAATTGTAAAAAATTATGTACAAATGAATTATTTTGTAAATCTCGATCACGTATTAGACTATTAAGAAAAATGGATAATTTTTCTTTACGATCATTGATAACATTTTCATTTCTTGAAGAGGTGAAAATTGATGATTTTGGTGGTAATTGATATGGGAAATCACTAGTATTTATACCTAAATCTGAACTTAATTGATTAACTAATTCATCAAATTCGGAGTATCTTTTTGTAATGGTAAAAGATCTTAATGGAAGTTTAAGAGATACATGGTAGTAAACTACTCCATCGGACAGAATCGAAGTATCGGGTATAGATATGACATCAGCCATTGTTGTAATTTAAATGTTGGAAAAGGTGATATGCTGTAATATTTGAAGAGCAGAGGAAAAAAAAACCCAATGAGAAGGTTTGGTCAGGTGTTAAACTCGTACGCAAGTAATTTTCGCAATTGGGAAAACTAATTAGAGATGAGGAAGAGGAAGAGGAAGAGGAATAGATGATATAAGGTTGAATAAGGTTGGTGAGTGAATAAAGAGGATGGATGAGAATAAAGGAAGAATGGCAAGTAGATAAGAAGCTAAACCGGAATGTAGAGTATATATATATTTTTATAAAGGCGGATGGTATCATGATGGTTTCAACTCGTCAAAGATACCAACACATGCAAACGAATGAGGATAAACACATTACAATACCCTAGGTGGTTAGATTGTTTACATTTATAAATAACCATTGGATGATATTCTATAAGAAGTCGGAAAGTTTCATCAATACAATACAAAAGTTGAGCTCATCGATCAGATTGCGAAGGAAACGCGTTCCCCTAACAAGGATATATTAAGAATTCTTCTATTTGAAACACTCTAGAGTCATCAATATTTGGATATACAATAACCTACTGCAAAAAAAGTGTAAATGTATAAAAGATAATGTTGTGAATGAAAATTCCTTTGCAAAAAAGGAATGCATTCAAGACCAATTAGGATTGAAAGTTCCATTTAAGCATCGAACTAATTAACCGAAATAGCTACATTCCACCGGGGTTGTAAAATAAACAAGAAAACCCTGTACTCTTACCCTGCTGTGCACTATCTAAGAATGAAGGGATGAACGCTGCATCAACTAAAAAACTACTCTAAACAGTTAAATTCATCCCCTTCAGTTAAAGCAGAGATCGGTGATATTGGTATATTGTTAATTAGTTAGAAAAAGCACGTTCTTTTCAATCTTATTGGACGATCGTGGTATTGTTACCACTCGAAACAAAGCTTCTAGCCCAGGGTTCCTCGTTTGTTCGCTATCAAAACACCATTAGTCGATATTTGCTTGTTTACCCTGAAATATCACCACTATTGTCTCCATTTTTGTCTCATGAGCTGGTTATCTTATCAGTTTCAGTCTTTGCAGAGTGATTTTTTGGTGCTGGTGTGCGGGTGTACGGGTGCCATTTTTTCTCCAGGATTGCTAAAAAATGATGCAACAAAGATCCAGATTGATAGCTACTACTCCAATACAAGCCATGACAGAACAGGAACAAGATACAGTTCACGATCGTGAGCAGCCAAGTGACGTTTCCTCTTCATCTGAAGAAGACCCTTTGTTGAACCATAGACACGGCGGAAGGGGCCGCGACTATGTGGACCCTGATGATCCTATAGTGTCCCCATTGAACTTGTATAAGATTCAATTACTTCGTTATGGGTTGATACTTGTTTTGCTTTTCAATGCTTTATTGTTTCTTGGGTTTTTTGTCACTGATTTTGTTGCAATTCCAGGGTTTAATAACCGGGGGAAATCCTTCTTGGAACTTGATTTGGTTGTACTAAATATCTTGACTGACGTTCTAACATTATGGTGTTTTATAGTACCGGCGTATTATGAAAGACTATTAGGATATTTGAGTTTGGGGTTGGTGGTGATTGATTTCATTGTGGTGTTCACCGTACCGTATTTGAGGGATCAAGAAGGACTTATTGGGAACTTTTTGTTTATATGGACAATTCTTAATATTATAATTAATTGTTTTGCTGATTATTGGGTTGAGCAATCTAAAAAACATCAAGAGATTAAATACACTGGTCGAATTGAAAGTAGGAGATCGATATTTGAATTACTGGTAATGTTTGTTAAGGTATTAAGTAAATTGGTACTATTATTAATCCTATGGAATATCAGTTTAACTATTTGGCTTACCGCGTTTGATACTCACGAAAAACCATGGGGTCAGTTAATTAGTGTAAATGAAGATAATTTCAAAGTCCATCTTTCCTGCTACGGAGATGTCACTAATGAAAAGGAATCAAAACAACCAATTTTATTATTGGAAGGTGGACAACTAACGTCTTCAGAACAATTCCAAGAATGGGTTGAAGAATTATATCACTTGAACAAAATTGAAAGATATTGTATTTGGGATAGACCCGGTTATGGTTTCAGTGACAGTGCTCCTTCTCCTACGTCCATTGGAATAATCACCGAATACTTGATTGAAGCATTAAAACATGCCGGGGTAGATGGTCCCTTCAGTGTGGTTGGTTTTGACAGCGGCGGCTTATACTCCAGAATGTTTGTTCTGAGAAATCCCGGTAAAATTCATCTGATGCTACTAGTTGATAGTTGGCATGAGGATTTACTCAAACACAACCCTTTTGGTGGCTCAAATCGTAAGAACGAAAATAAACGTACCTTCAAGAATGTGTTGGAATTCCTAGACACCAAAACGGGCATTGCCCTATGGTTCAAAGGTTTAGTATCTCCTTTAGGCATCATCAAAAACTTCCATTGGTTTTTCCATCCAAGGAAACATTCCTCCAATAATCGAATCTTTGGTAATGACATGATTTATAGCTCGAAATATTTACGGGCAAGATTGCAAGAACAGGTCACTGCGTCCATCTTGTCCTACAATGAAATAATCGGAAGCGATATTCATAATATCCCCGTCAGTGTCATTAGTTCTGATTTCATGATCAAAAACTCTCTCAATTGGGGGAAATGGCAGAGAGATCTTACTAAACTTAGTGAAAATACCATTGAATGGGTAGTGGCAGAAAACAGTAACCATCGAATTTGGGAAAGTCCAAAGGGTAGAACCCAATTACAACAACTCTTGTTACGTTTAGTTAGTGAAAAATCAAACTACATCTAAAATTAGCTGGTTGCAAGTATGGCTGGTCGCTCATTCTGCCCATTGCCGCGGGCCACCAGTGCTACTAGCCCATCCACCGGTGTCTCTGACTTACAGGTATCACCTCTTGACAATATACACTGGCCCACCCATACTACTTGTAGTGCTGTAGCCGTAATCAACCTTGTACTAAACAACTTCCCCTAAATAGTAATTAAAGCTGGAAATTAAAATCTTCATACAAAACGAAAATAAAAAAATTAAAAAAGAAGCAAAAAAAAAAAAAAAAAAATACAAAAAAAAAAAAAAAAAAAACAAAAAAAAAAAAAAAAAATGTGGATAACATAATCTATCGATTCAATACTCTTTTTCCTTCAAATTAGTTATACGTTCCCTTGTGACTGCTATATTTTCCTTTAGGTCGACATCAGTGTTGCTAGAGGGTATCTCGACAGGTATAGTAGTAGATTGAGATTGATAATCCTACACAAATTGGTGTTACCCACAAGTTTGCCAATCCCAGCGTCTAAATCGAATTGCAAGAAAAGAGAGTTCGTTATCGCTTTTGGTGGATTGAAGATTACCCATAAGTCCAATCAGTGCTTCTCTTTATCTTTAACGTACATTGGCGTCCTCGATCGGTTCCTTTTTGGTGTGTTGTAACAGCTTGCTGGTGCTATTAATATATTCACGACCTTTTCACGATTTTTTTTTCTTCGTTCCAACTTTGATAATCCCCCTTTTCTGTTACGCATTCAATAGGTGGTCTATTCAGATAAACATCTTGACTTTTGCCCTGAACTGTTTCCATCAACGGTGGGTTTTGTTACTAGTTCAAAGTTATTGTTAACTCCTCAGATTCACGGTAATTGTTTTTTTTTTTGTTTTTCTGTCTTTATTGTTTTTTTGTTTTTTCCTTCGGTTCTCTTGTTTTTCGTTCTCCCTCTGAGGTCGTTAGGTCCATCGATTCACATCACAACGCTCATCCAAGGACTGAATTCGAACAAAAAAAAGCATAGTAATTTAATTGATTAGTTTTTCTGTTTTTCTTTGTTTTTTTCTTTTGTTTTCTGGATTAAGTTCATCATGTCAAACGAAAACGCAAAAGATATTGTTAATCAGCCATACCCGGTTAGATCAGTGTCAAAATCAAATAGATCTACTCCATTGAGTTCCCCTCCCACCAGTTTCCCTTCTTCTCCTGCAATCAACCCTAATTCAGCTAGCACTGCACCAACTTCTTTTTCTAATGGCTCTGCTGCATACTCGAACGCTAATCAACCGGAAGATAAATCACCATCTACTTTACCAAGAGCTAATGGCCGTCCCTTGGACTCAGCCCAGCCAATTGTCAATGGCTCGAGTGGTGTTACCAATGTTTTAAATAATGCAAACCGAGACGTTTCTACGTCAAGTAATGCCACAGTTACCCTTAACACCGTCATTCCAAATTCATCCCAACAACAACCCCAAACTCAAAATACGTCAAACTCAAACCAAAATCCTTCGAATCAGTCAAATCAATCCACAACCTCCCAAACGCCACCCACAAGAAGATCCTCGTTTGGGCTTAATTTTCTTAGCTCGTTTACAAATTCAATCAGACCAAGTCTTCAATCCTCGGGCTCAAGCTCAAATACTCATGTTGCTCCTACTACCTCAAATACTAATCGTCCAGCATCCCCAACTCGTGAAAACCCCAATCTGTTCATGTCTAATAGTCCTACTATTGCCAACTTGCATAATTATACTTCTACAACCGCCGTAACTTACGCTAATGAAAATAATATTGATCCTATTAATGAAAATATAAACGATCACACTGTCACTCCTGATTCTCATAATCCAACTACCGGCTCTGCTTTTGGATCCGAAACTAATCTTCAAAATGGGTCTCATCTAAGTGACAATGATAATGCATTGAATAATGATATTTTAAATTCAAATGCTTTAAACTACCATAATCCTGTTAATGATGCCCTTGACGAACCCAATGTTGTAACCTTACCGGAAAACTCTGATGACCCACTCTTATCGAATCAAAATGCTCAAACTACGTCGAACCTAAACAATAACAATAATAACGGATTGGATAAAGATGGTTGTTATTCAGTTAGACTAACTCCTTTAATTGACCACTCTTCTGCCACATCAGGCCTTTATTTTGCTCCAGTTATTAGAAAAATTAAACCAAGTAATAATATTTCAATTGGTAGGTATACTGAGAAAAATAAACTGGCTGCTCATGCTCCTCAGGGTTCATCTGCTCCAATAGTTTTCAAATCTAAAGTTGTCTCCAGAACCCATGCATTATTTCAATGTAACGAAGATGGTCAATGGTTCTTAAAAGATTGTAAATCTTCGTCAGGTACCTTTTTAAATCATATTCGTTTAAGTCCGGCATCACTGGAGTCTACATTAATGCCATTAATTGATGGTGACATAATTCAGTTGGGTATGGATTACAGAGGTGGGATTGAAGAGGTTTATAGATGTGTTAAAATGAGATGTGAATTCAATAAGAGTTGGCAACGTAAAGTCAACCAATTTAACTTGGAAATTCATCAAAAATTGAAAAACTTACATCTTGGTAATAGTACTGGTGATTCGGTTGATAATAACCCAATCGGTGATGCGCTTAATAATGCCAGTAAAGATGAATTATCAGAATGTGCTATATGCTTACTTAAATTGGAGCCTTGTCAAGCTTTATTCATAAGTCCATGTTCACATTCGTGGCATTACAAATGTATAAGACCAATTATTATTAAGAGTTATCCCCAATTTTACTGTCCTAATTGTCGTTCAATGTGTGATTTAGAAACTGATATCGAGGATGATGATTAATGCTTCACTCACTCACTGCACATGATTATATTAATGTATAGCACTTTTATTTCATTTTAACCAGTTATTGGTCATAATTATATTTCATTTCATTGCGTTCCTTTGCTCTTGTTTATTCTTTCTCTCTTTTTTTTTTCAACTTCATTTCACACTTCATTCGATACATATTTACATACGTTATTTTTGTCACGATAAGTTATATTATTCAAAGTAGAAATAAATTCACCTGTCAAAGGCGTTGAGCATGATTTCGTTAGATGAGAATTAAAAAGAAACTAAAGAAGAATAAAGAATAATGGGAAAAGAATTATTATGAAAGTAATATTTAAAAAACAGAGATTAGGCTTTTTCAGTTTCAACGACTTCATTGTGTTGAACCATCATATTTTTGATACCTTCGTCACCCAATTTTTCCATCATGTCACCAGTATCAAAGACATTAACTTGAGTTTTCTTAAACTTTCTTGCTGGGACACCAGTATTAAATAAAATATCTAATTCAGCAAAGGTTCTATTCTTAGTTTCAGGTAAATCGAACCAACAATAAATAGCACAGAAGAAAGCAAAGCCTGACCAGAAAAACCCAGTTTTAGCTTTCCAATTCCAAGCGGTTGGATTCAACATGTAGGGACTAATGATTGAAGTAACAATACCAGCAATATTATAAGTATTTCTAGCTAAAATGATAGTTTTAGTTCTTAATCTAGCGGTAGGCATTTCTGCTACCAAACAATAACAAATAGGGCCAATCGTTAAATCATAGACAAAAGTGAATATAAGTAATAAAGAACCAATACCCCAAGAAGCATTTGGATCAGAAGAGCAACCAAGCCCACCAACAATTACAAGAATGGTGAACATAGCACATAAACCGTAGAAATAAATTGAGAAACGACCAACTTTTTGACTTAAGAACCAAGAACCAACGGTACCAATAAGACCTAAAACGTATTGGATGATTGAAAAGGTAAAACTCATATTGGTAGATAAACCCGCTTGAATATAGAAGTAGGTAGAATAACCCATTAAAGAAGCACCAGTGATTGATTGGGTTAACCAAACCATACAAGCGATTCTGGTTCTTCTAAAATCAGATCCTTTAAAACAATCAGCGTAACTAGCACTATTTCTTTGTTTAAATAATTCTTCTTCTTTATAAGTCATTTGCATTTTTTCAACCATTGCAGTTGCTAATAAATCTTTTGAAGGTAAATGTTCATTTTCAGTTAATAATCTAGTTAAACTATGTTTAGCTTCTTTCAATTTACCCTTTTTAACTAACCACCAAGGAGATTCTGGAGCCAAGTAAATACCAATCATAATTGGAACTGGCCAAGCCCATTGAATAGCAAAGGGGATCTTATAAGCCGATTCGCTTGAAGAACCAACAAAACCTCTCAAGATACCCGAGGAGATCAACTGACCGAAAACCCAACACATATTAACATAAGTAGTTAAATAAATTCTAAGAACCAAGGGACAAATTTCTGCAGCATAACTAAGAGTTAAAGTTTGGAAGAAACCATAAGGAATAGAAACAAGAATATAACCGGTTAATAAAACAGCACGAGCAGTATAAGGGGTTTCAATGTAAGAAGAGAAGAAAATGACAAATATAAAAGCCGTCAAGGCAATAAGAGCATTAATCAAAGTTTTACGATAACCGATTCGATCAGCCATTATACCGGCTAAATATAAACCAAGAACCTCACCACAATAGATAGCCATGGAAATGGAAGTTTGCCATTTAGTTGGAACTTCGTAAGAGTCTGACTCCGGGTAGTATTCTCCATATTTCTTGGTGAAAGCTGGGAAACCATAGAAAGAGTTGATAAGATTAGTATCGTAACCTTCCATAATCAAGGCCGTTGATAAAACCACCGACCAAAAAGCAGCTTTGGGGAACGTTTTAATCCCTTCGGCCAAAGACATATGTTTTTCTTTACTATCGGTATCTCTAGCGTTATTAGACATATCCAAAAACTTGGAAATGTAATCGTTCATTTCTGAATCAACCGAGTCATCGGTAGCCTTCTTGGTTAAAGGCTCTGAGATCTGGGTAACAACCTCTTGTTGCTTAACATCTTCAACAAATTCGGTAACCATCTTGACTATGAAATTATAAGACGATATTGAATGGGAAAACAAAACCCATTACAAAACAACGTTGTTTCCATCGCTATTTATATGATCTGAAGAAGCCATTGGGTCGAGGGGGAAAGCCTCCATAAGACCCACTAAAAATACCCACTAAAAATAATCAAGCTCATCAATTAAAATCAGCTTTTTCGGTAATGTCATAAAAAATACGAATGGTTTACGGGAAATTTTCTTTGATTACCCCAGATTTCGAGCATTTCTTAATCTATTGTTCCTATTATACTCCCATTAATTATACTTTAACCATACTTACTGTCCATTAACATCAATTAACTATCCTCCATTACTATACTCATTCATACTCCATTAATACTCCATTAACATCTATACCCTGTTCTGTCATAGCAGTAGTCGAAACGAGGCGCTCGGGCAATAAGTCGTTGATTTTTAGATGCAAAATGGCTTTTTTCCTTTTGTTCCCAGAGATCTGGAGGAGAGGAGGGGCTTTTTCCTTTTTTTTTCTGTTTTTTTTTCTGTTTTTTTTTGGTTTTGGGGGTGTTTTGGGTGCTAACTGCGGAAAGTATCAACTCGCGAGTATTTGCGCGAGGACGAGCAGGCCAACGGTCCTTGCCAGGGCCAAGGCCCTTGCTGGGGCCAAGGCTGTTGGGCAGTTAAGGCAGGCCAGCAAGCTTGGTGGTGGCCCGTTCGGGGAATAAAAGATCAGGATGCCAAAGCCGGTCCCCCACGATTCGGAATTTCTTCAGTCTTTGCGTTTTTGCAACTATTCCACCGACTCACTTACAGTATACGAGTATACAATGTAAGTTTAGTACTGTGGTATAGTAAGTAAGTACAGTAGTACAGTAAGTAAGTAAGTAAGTAAGTACGTAAGTAAGTAAGTAAGTAAGT